ACTTCTGGGTCTTCGAAAGTACCACAAGAGGAACGGCAGCAGCTCGTAGTCCCCATTGCACGAAGGTCAGGAGACGTGCCTACTTCAACAAATACGGTTGCTCCAGTCTCTGCGGGAGGTTCTACTTCTATCTCGTCTGCACTACCAACCTCTACAGAATCGAACTTCCAACCACCACCACGAACGTCCTCTGATGACAGTAAGACCGCCACTGCTTTAACGGGTGCAGCCGTGGCAGCTTTGCCTGCGCTCTCGGGAAAGGTCGGCGCTTCTGGTAGAAAGTCTTCCTCTAGCGCGGCTGATGAGGAGGATGCTGATAGTTTCGCGTCGTTCAATGGTGCTTCAGATGGTGAGGAGGTAGATGCTGATGATGCCGGTCCCTCAACAAACGCTCCTTTGACACAGCCAGCAACGACCTCGTCAGCACAACTATCTGCCCAACACCTGGCGAGACCCTTGAGTCTTTATGTGCCACCAGAAAAACGCCCAGTCTTGCTTGGCAGAAAGGTCACTTCAGCGCTACTTGTTGTGGAGTTTTGTGATTCTGCCACAGTCGAAGGCGATGAAGACTCGTCTTGTTCAGCTGGTTGTAAATCGGGCGCAACGGGTTCTAGTGCAAAAAAGCAAGCGCCGCCACGACTAGACATCGTTGGCGAAAACGTGGTTATCGATTACCAACGTCGATACTTCAGCAAGGTTGGAGATTTTTTTCGCCCACTGGCACCAGAGTACCAGGCGTTAGTGCAGATTTTACCCGGCACGACTACCGCTACAGCCGACCTCCAAGACGCAGCATCGCCAGCATCTCAACCAGACACCGACGTGGACGACACTGCTGACCCCGCGTTCGATATGCGGAGTCAGACTGGCTCAGAAGCTTCAGATTACAGACGAGGGTCGCGCTCTTTGCTAGGAACGCCACGCGACGACTATGCGCAGATGCTTCGCAAAGTCAGCCGCAGGCCTTCTGCAGCGAGCACATTGGAGATAGCGATGGCGACCAACGCAGATCTACAAGATCAGAGTCAGCACCAGCAAGCACCGACTGCCGCTACGTCCAGTAGAATGCAATGGAGAAGTAGGCTAAAAGCCGCAACTGAACGGGGCATGGACGTGATTGTCAAGCTCGATGCGCCCACATTGTTATTACCTACGAAATTTACGCTCGACCCTTCCAAACCGACCCTCGCGCTCCATCTAGGTGTTCTCAAGATCAACTCACTCGGAAGCATCAAAGATTTGGTAACGGCTGACGAAGGCAAAGAGCGGAAAGATCGGTACACGGCAGAAGAACGCGCTTCAGTCGAGACTTTAAGGTCTCATTTTCAGAACGACATCTCATCGGCGGAAAGGTATGCGTTGACACTTGAACACGTCCACGCGGCACGATTGAAGAGCACTGAGAGTGCACATATTGCGGCGTTTCTAAGACGAACGGACAGCACAGTTGGTGTTGGAAATGACCGAAGAGATGTTGATACTAGTAAAGATACTGCAGGTGCGGACAGTAGTGTCGACCTGAATCAAGGAGACGATAACTGTATCCAATATCTACTGGAGGATGTTTCCTTGGGCATCAACTTGGACATTTGCAAGTACAGGTCAACTACTTCCTCTACTACTTCTGCAAAAAAGGAGGAACCTAGTAGAGGTGCAGGCGCATTTGTTTCCTCGACGTCCAAAGACACTAAGAGGCAAAATAAACTGGGTTCTGCAGCCCGGTTATCTGGAGGAAAGGACGCAACTTCAACCACAGTGGAAGAACTCTCCGTCACCCACATTAGCGGGGAACTTCCGGAATTTCTGCTTTATCTCGACCGCAGTTGCTACGACACTGTCGTCGAGTCGCTCAGACTTGCGACTACCACCTACGAGTACACGGACACTGGCTTCCGGAACGTGTCCCAGGGTCAGGGTCGCGACTGGTGCGAGGAACATCTGAACGATCGAGAGTCTCTACTTCTCGACCTTAGCGTCCGACAATTAGGCGTGCAGATTCACGAAGCGTACATAAAACCAGACTTCTGCAACAACATGAGTCCTACGGTCGCCTTCGCGCACAGTGCGCCGGGAACGGTTCCTGCGGTGGATGAGTTGCTAAGGCAGATTTACGGCGCCGACGCACCAGAGGACTTTGGATCGGGGGGTAGTGGCGCGCATCCAAACGAAGCTCGTGCTACTTCCAGGGTGAGAAGTAAAAACGCTGGCTCTACTACTGGTTCGGGTACTTCTATGCCGTCTAGTCCTGGGCGAGTTGCTGACCCCAGCACATCAGTATCCGACTATCTCGAACTAGTTGCGGAAGAAGCTAGACTCCGAATAGAGTCGCAGTCTATCCTGACGCGGATCGCACTGGACCTCGAGAGTGTCAGTATTCATCGACCAAACGCACTGGATCCGTTTTTAGATAGGCAAGTTCTTGTGACGGGCAGCGAACCTTTGCGACCACCTGATCCTCCGAGAAGTGAGGAGCTTGAAGTTTATCAGCGCTACGAGCATGCTATTGCACACGCAGTCCATGAGCAACGACTTCTGTATGGACCAGGAGGAGGCGATGTTGGTAGTGGTAAAGGAGGACGGACGAAATTCTACGAACCCCAGCATCATTATACTCACAGTCCTCCAGGCGCCTCTACTTTAAGGGTTTCCGAATTACATCCCTCACTACCATCCTTGGCTCCTTTTCAAGGGGAAAATAGGTCAAGGATGTTCTGAAGAATGCAACCCGGAAACCTCGAACTACTAGTCCACAGCGACCACCTGGCCAGAATGCCAATGCATGTGGTGCTGGGCCCAATAGTTCCAAGAAGTATCTTCGATCACCGCTTTCTCGAGCGAGCCCTGAGCATAGACGCGATAATAATAGAAGTCCTCTTCATCCAGCATCAAAGTCAAGGCCTGGCGCTGGTGTAGCGACAAACAATAGTAGTTTTTTGACGATCGGCATCAATACTGTCCATGAGAATGCGAGAGAAATCCCAGAGTTACAGCCAAAGTGTCACGGTGCATACTGGCTGGTCGACGTCAATATGGCAGAAGTTCGGCTAAATTTCGAGCAAAAAATCGTCGAGGGATTGCTTGTCTTCCTCAAAGACACACCGCCAGCAGAAGAACCACCTCCGATAGTGGTACAGGAGCCGTTGTTTGTTCCCCAAACCAATTCTGGAGCAGCACCTCCGGCTGGAAAATTTTCCTCCTACAGCAGTGCGACAAATAATCTACCAGCGCATGTTGGTCCTGTTGCTTCTGCAACCCTCGCCCGCGACAGCTACGCTTCTGCAGGTGCGCCATCGGATAAGGAATCGCCAGGTTTGGAACAAGACGATCACTTGTCAGCGTCTTCGCATGGCGTTTCTGCCTGTTCATCGTCCGCGTCGCCGATCTTACACTCTGCCAATGCAGTTACAACAGCTGACGTGGTCCCACCGATAGATGCGTTTGCTTCTGCAGCAGCTATTCCGATCAACGTTCCTGCCGCAGATCATTCTGCAAACGCTGCTTCTGCCCCCTCAACAAGCAAGGACGACGCTACTTCTGCGACAACATCTAGCATGCCCTCTCGTTCTCCACCTGTTTCACCATCTGGGAAAAAGCCTACGGGTTTAAAGTACAAGCTGCAGTTCCGCAGCAAGTTCTTAGAGTTGAGGTGGTTGGAGAACATCCGCGCTGCTCGGTGGAACATAATGGAGACGCACTACTTTGCCCATTCGACCTGTCAAGATTCGACTTTTGACCTCTTCCTCTACGAAGAACGCACGACTTTCGACGCAAAGTTCGGCAACTTGGAGCTCCAGGATTTGAGTAATGCACGCAGACCTCAGATCCTTGGTGTGAAGAAAGACGCCTCAGCCTCTATTTCTAGTACTGCCAATCATGCCAATGCCTTTGCCAATGCAAACAAGCCTAAAAACGAAGCGCAGGACGTCAAGTACGTTTCCGTCTACATTAAAACCCTTACATGGGAGGACCAGCTTGCTATGGAAAAGGCGGGGAAAAACAACCCTTTAGACCTTGCCTACTTGATCAAACTAAATTTCGACCAACCAGAGCTGTTCTTTTTGAAAGAGAAGTTTATGCGATGCTGGAGGTGGGTCATGTGCGGCTTAGTCACTGCGGTGACCGCAGGTCCAGAAGCAAGGCCACTGCCACCTGGAGGTGGATTGACGACGTCGCCCTCTGTCGTGGGAGTCGCTGGACAACAAGTAGGACTTCATCGTCTCCACTCACCACTGGAGGAAAACTCCACTCGTCACAGACTCAACGATCCCCAATCCCTGAACAGCTTAGACCGCAGCACTGCAGGTGGAGGCGGTAATTTTGTTACAACCACACCAGCACCACGAGGTGGACGTGGAGGCGCCACAAGAGATAATATTAGGGACGAACTTATGGGAACACAACAATTAGGTGCCAGTACTGGAACTAGTCTATTGCAGTCTGCGAAGAGTCAAAGGGACCCTCCGGATACACTGCTAAGATCAGCCGATACAGCAGTCTTGTACAACGTGAACACTCGGCGTCCCTCATTGGACGGCAATTTTGAGTTGCCGAGCGATCCCTTGGAAAGGCTGTTGCAGGAGCTGAGGACAGAACAACGAGCAGCTCTTCTTGGAGCTAGTGCTACAACTGGATTGGGAGCAGATGAGACTACTAGCGCAATAACTTCAAATAGAAAAAACGCCGCTGGTTACTTGGGGGACGAGTACATGATAGACCATTTTCCAAGGTCCTACGATCTCCAGGTTTCTGTTTCCAAACCGTCCATCTTTTTGCCGGCTAGTATCGACGCAACTGGAGACAGCATCGAGCTCTTTACAGACAAGGACTTGAAAATCACGAACAGAGCAGTGTACATCGAAAACGCCAGCGATTTGTGCGCGTCAAATAGCAAGATGGTCTACGTACCGGAGAGAAACTGCTACGCACATGCGGAGGAGGTAGCTTCTAGCTCATCTACTCAAACTCAACAAGATAGAGAATCGCAATGGCAATCTTCAAAGATGAACTCAACAAGTCCACCATCGAGAAGCCCTTTACGTACTCGATTGGCCAAGAAGAAACAAGCAAGCCACGTTTATCGTGCTGGTTTCGAGAATCCATTTGCCTCGCCAGCTGCTATTAGTCACTTGCTAGACCGCATAGCGGAAACCGATCCGGACCTAATCAGGGAACAACAGGGTGGGATGCTAAACCTGAATAGCACGAGTCTCACAACGCCACCGCATCTGCGCGTAATGAAAGCGTCTCGGCATCTTCTTTTGACCAATCCAAAGTTGTCAGAAGCTGAGCGTGCTGCTGCGCCCCCTTTAGCACGTCGAGAACGCCTGAACAACCATGGTTGGCACGATAGGTTGCTGGTCGAAGGAAGGGACATCATGCTAAGGCGTTTGCACAGCTCTGGCGTCCAAAACCTCCTAGAGAAACCCATCGAACTCAAAGTCGAATTCGTGCGTGGCATAGAGGACTACGCTAGGCTAAAGTTTCTCTACCACCTGTTGTTGAATAACGGGTTTCGAGAGCAAAGTAGTGATCCCACGGTAGACAATCCTGGTGTAGTTAGTGGACTGCAATCGAGTGGCGTTGGAGGACAACAGCAAACAGCTGCTGTTGTAGACCGGCGCCTCCTCGTCTTCGAGTACATCCCTTGGAGTTACAAGATCCGCGTCGGCTTTTCTCCTGTCGCCATCCTTCTCAACTTACGCGAGTGGAACTTCGTGAAACGCGTTTTCTTCGACAACATTGTTGCCGCGGACAACGACGTCAAAGTTCGTGAAAGCCGCTATGTGCGAGACGTGCAGGACGTTTTTGAGCGCGTCGCGTATAGACGGTACATGGAAATGTGCTTCGATTTCGAAACAGTGCGCTTGGCGTTGAACATGGACGGATCAACGGCCGACGACTTCGATGCTGCGGAGTTCGAATCAGTTTTGAGAAGGGACTTGCCAGAGCCTTTAGCTGAGAGTTTGTTTGGTCGAGGGGGTCCGAAATCAGCGGATGACGAACAAACAGCCACACAACTGCGGGAACGAGCTGCAACTGGTGTCACAGGACACAGAAGATCAGGATACTCATCTACAACCACAGAAGACTACCTCGGTTCGAAGAATTCCGGAATGCCGTCATCGATGTTTTCAGGTTATGGCGCGGAAGACACTGACACAGCACAAAAATCCTTTGCCCCGACAGCGATTAGTGTCACCGCACAGCGGATTCAACTGGCGTTGACGAAGTACGTCGGCAGTCAGACAGAGTTCATTCTCAAGCTGAAGGATGCTAGAATCCAGCACCAGCCTGCGATTGATGCGCCTTTCGGAGGTTTGGTGTTATTCCGAGAACCTGGAACATCAAGGTCGTCGTCGAACAACAGTTCTAACATCAAAACTGTTGAAGAAGAAATCGAGATGCGATTTGAGTACACCCGTTTGATACCACAAGAGGACCTCGATTACTGCACGCCTCAGCTAGTCCGAATATACCGAGAAGAACGGGGTCTAGCGCCATCAGCTTCCAGTCCTGGTGAGTCGCCATCCAAGCCTCTACCAGTCGGCGTCAGCAACTTCGTTGAGAATTACAAGAATCCTCAAGCCGCCTTGCTGTCTAAAGATCGTGCAACATCGTTGCAATTGCTGAATCTAGGACTACCTGCTGTGCCTCTTTCTCCACGACAGGGAAAGCAAGAATTCATGGAGGACCATGACCTTGCATCTGTGCCATCAGAGGGCGCGCCACCTGCGAGATTCGACTTTGGAACTGTACCTGACGAAGTCGTCCAGGATTATGACTTGGATGACGCGGAAAGTTTCAACCGTGCTGCTTCTAGTCGGTCCCCAGCTTGTCCGAGGGGTGGTGGTCCTGGCGGTGGTGACGACTTCCTGCCGAACGTGAGGGCGTCTGCGGCGGAAAGGAGTAGAGACGTAGTGCCACCACTTGGAGAAAGAAATAGAGCAGATGATTATGTTGGCACCACGACTGCTGCTCTAGTTCATCTTGATGGAACTCAGCCACGCGTTTTCCCGAGTCGCAACATAGAGCCACCGACTCCCGAGCTTCGAGCTGAGGAGTGGCTCAATGAAAACTTGCCGATTTCTCACTACACAGACGCAACAATTACTATGGACTTCCACGTTTTCGAACCACGTGTGGTGCCGAACGCTGTGGTTCTGTTTTTGTTGTACAAGTTCTTCTGGCTAGAAGAGGATCCAAATCAGATCTATGGCGGTCTTGCGGCAAGCACAAACGCTGGAGGTGGCGCAGATGTAGACTCAATTACAGTTGTTAACCAAGGTGGTCCACTCAGTTTGCTTGCATCACCTGGGGCAGCGTTGAGTGTTTTCGATGTTGGCGACCACGCTGCCATTGGAGCAACTGCGACGGTTGAGCAAGCGTCTTCCAATACAGCATCACAGCCCGCTGCACCTTCAGCCTCCAGTTCCGCAAGTTCAGGCATATCTTCTTCTGCTCAAGGGAGCTTTCATCTTGGACAAAGTGGCGGCACGACGACCATGGGCGGAAACAACTATGAGGATCCAACAGGTGGAAGTGACCTTGAGCCTCCAGTGGTGGCGCCAGTCTTTGGCGAAGGAACGAGTACTCATATGGAAAAAGCGAACATGTCTGCTGCAGCACTCGTGCATGGCGGACAGAATTTGACAGCCGATGCCTTCAGATGGCAACTAGGTCCAACTTCTTCTATCCCAGGACCAGGAGCTGGAGCGCCATGGTCTTTCCCACTCTCCAGAATGCATCTCGCGCCAAGCAAAGACTCACAAGCAAGCACAGTTGCGTCGAATTTGAGTACTATGTCCTCTAGATCGAGTGCGAGTGGACTCGGAGGGGGTGCGTCTGGAGGTACGACTGGCGCTGTTGTCATTCAACAACAGCGCAAAGAACTCATGGAGAAACTCACAACCACAGCTTCAGAACTCAAAGTTTCTTGGCGAGGGTGGAGAAAACAGCAGGCGCGGGAATGGGAGATTAGTACGCCAGACGAGATCGACATGATGACGAACGAAGATTTCTTGGAGCATTTCACAGATCGCCGCCAATACCATGCTTTTTGGAGAGCTAACCCCAGTCGTGGATCATCTGGTGGAAAAAACGACAGTGCTGGAGAGGACGATATGGATGTTGGTAGTCGGGAGATTTTAGGTGAGAGAATTCCAGCACACGCTGCACGGTTTTCGACATCGGACCTTGTGGCTGGGAACCGACGTGCTGTAAAACAGACCTACGCAGCGGATGAAGTGCGCGGCGACGAGCGTCGCGGCAGTCGCGGATCTGACAGTAGTAGGGGTAGCAAAGACCTACCTCTAGGTGAATTCCAGGACCCTGAACAAGACCCCAATAGCGCCGCTACTGGTAGCAAGGATCGCGGCTCGTCAAAGAACGCGAATATCAAGGAACGAGTTCAAAAATTGACTCGTGGCGGGAAAGTCGAGATTCGCATAGTCTTGCAGAATCCTTCGGTTGTTTTTCCCACAGCCTACTCAGCGGACAACGCGAATTATCTCGTTGTAAAGCTCAAGACAGCAGATATACGGTTAGAAACGTGCCCTGACCGCGCAACAGAGAGCATCGACATGATGGCAAAACGCATGTGCGATTTTGTAGATCAGTTGCTTTTCTGCGTTAGCAGGCTTGGGCTGATCTGCAACGATGAGGATCATCAAGAAGGTGTGCTAGGTCATGGGGTTGAAGATCATGCTGATCACATGGGACAACAATTGCATCCTACACGTGAGCAGGTAGGAGGAGCTATTTCATCCTCTACAACGGGTACTACTTCTTCTTCTAGAGGACGGAACAATAAGCAGCCGTATGTGAAGGACGCCGATGCACTTGCACGTCTGCAACGTTTGGCGCCAGAGTTTTTAGCCAATGTCCTACATCCCAATAGAACCGGCGCCAAGGTAGACGAATTCACTGTCTCTCGAGACCGCATTCGCTGTCTTGAGTTGCTTTTGAAAACAGTGAGCCAGGAGCAAGTGCGCGCGTGGATTGAGCAACCCGAAGATTTCTTGATAGCTCTAGCTGAGTACAACTACAACAACAAGAAACTTGTACAAGAGGAAGAACAGCAGACGCTTCGCGGTCAGCAGGGTGACAAGATGAAAGGCCACCAAGACCCATTCCAGAGTCATGACAACTTTAGGAGTACTTCGAAAGGGGTGCCTTCACCTGACGATGATACAAATGAACAGGAGTACAACGAAGCGGAGAGGCAGATTTTGCTACTGCAGACTCTTGCAGAGGACTTGCCAAGAGTAGGGTATCATTTTGCGGGTTTTTTGAAATTCTGGACCAAACTGAAAGCCAGTCCAAGCCTTTGGGGAAACGTCACTCGCAAAAGGCGCCAGTGGTTCGGCATCGCGGATGGTGGTATCGTTTTGCAGAGGTACTTAGCTAGTGGTAACGATTTGATGCCGCAGGGTGAAACAACACAAGTAGTGTCCCCTTCTAAAGATGCAAATGCCTCAAATAGAGGTCATGGACTTCTTGGAGAGAAAAGACCACCAGCTGGAAACAGTACAACGACAGCACCACCAGTTCCTAATGATCCAGCTGGCATTGTTCGAGGGTCGTCTTCTCGTAATGCGGCAGCACGCAATACCGCCGGAGGACTCATCTACAATCAGCAAAGCAAGGACGTCGGCAGCAACATCTTGGAAGAGTTCGAATTGTTTTTCGGTACCGTTGAGGAAACTCAGCGTGGCTTCAATGTGGACCTTTTCAACGGCTCCATTCCTCCGAAGAGTGGCGGGTCCGGGCTCAAAGACGTCCGTGATTCCGAATCTCGTATGCTTTTGGATAATGTCCAGCAATTTCTTGCTACCGAAGAGGGCCGCGACCATCAAAGTTACCTCTTCTTCAGACACAAGCACACGCTGTCAAGGCTTAGCAACCTGCATTTGAAGATCAGTTACGAAGACTTGCGCTGCATCATGCACTGCGTGAGATGGCAGCAACAGAGTCTCCAGCGTCTGTGGGACTTGGAAACTGTTGTCGTGCCACCAGAACCGAAACTGGTGAGCAATCGCATCATTGTTGGAGGACAGCCAAGTATGTCTCCAACAGCGCGGAGAAATGGCGGTCGTGTAGGAAGTGCTAACGATAAAAGCAGCATGGGTCTGAGTGCTAGGCCAGGCGGAGTCACAGGCACTACTGGCACTGCACAAACAGATGCACACGCGCGCCAAGTTGTGGATCAACAGCAACCTTCTAGTCCTTCTGGCCTGAGTGCCACTATTCCTGTTGACCAGTACAGGTCTTGGGATTTGCGATGTCGCGGAGCCTCACTGGAACTGTTGAATGATGTGGGTCAGGATGTCGCTTACCCGTTTTTCCGATTGGAGCTCACGCGCTTTCGCGGTGTGTCAGAGCATATGTCCTTTTTTGATCGCTCTTTGTTCAAAAGTAGGACTGTCTTAAGAACAAATCGAGATATGTTCGGAGACTTGTACGCGGAATACTTCAATCCCATCGCTGTGTGCTACGAACCTCTGCTAGAAGGGTTGGATGTCTTTCGGGACAAAAGACGCACAGGCGACGGACAAAAGCGCTATAGTGAAGACGCGATCTTGCAGCAAGTATGGTCTAAGCAGCGAAATAACGAAACCAGTGCTGTGGCTGTGGGACGAGCGCAGGTGTTACGGTCATCCTCTACTAGAGTTGGAGGAGAGTCTTCAACCACTGCGAGTGGACCTACTAGGTCCTCTACAACAAGTCCAAGTGGTACGAATGGCAGTGTTGTCACAGGCGCGGGGTCATCATCTCTAGGTCATAAAGGTGAGGGGGATGGCAATGGGCCTGCCAATCGAACCTTGCGCGATTTGATGGCACAGCGAGGCAGAGATGTCGCAGACATGCTCGATGAGGCTGGGGCTGGCCAGTGGATTGACGACACAGCTTCCCTCGAGACTAGTTCAACACTCAGTGCTGACTTAATTTCTGACACGGACTCGACCTATTCTCTGGCTTCTGATATGTCCACCGCGTCAACGAGTACATTGGCGACGATTAACCGCAAGACCAAGAACAAAAATAGGCATAAGGCGTTGGAGAGTTTCCGCCGGAAGATGAGGAACCGCCTAGGTCGTGGCGGACGTCCGCAAGAGAAACCGTCAGCGACTGGTGTCCTCGATGACGACGAGGAAGACGAGTACGCGGCAGCTCGTATTGGTGAGGCGTCGGCGCCTTCTATTCGATGCGTTTTCCGACATGAATTCGGCGACTTCGTAAAAAGTGATGCGAGGATGTATTTGCTGGACGATTTTGATGACAGTGAAGATGGCGACGTCGTTGTCGGACGAGGTGGCCCACAACCATCATCCACTGCTGGCCCGATCTCCACAACCTCATCTGCAACTACAGGTGCTACAGCAACAGAGACGAAGATCAACACAACTGCCGCGGCGGCTCGCAACGGCTCACGAGGAGGAAAGGATATGAAAACAGCAGTTCCGTCATCTTCAACAACTGCGGTCGCGCGTATGCGCCAGCGCATCGACAACTCCCTACACGATGACGGCAAATATGAGGCTCTAGTCCTCAACATCATAGACCAGATCGGCCTCAACGTGACCGAAACGCTTGCAGATGTGCTTCTCAGCAATATTCGCGAGTGGGTAACAGATTTCAACAAGTCGGACTTGGATAAGAGCTTCGTGAATGAAGGCATGGAGCTTTTATTGCGGAGCTACGTCGTCAGACGTGCGCTTGTGAGTACTCATTTCCAAAGGACGCTGCTAAGACGAATAGCGTCGAGCATGTCTCTCAACATCTGTCCGAACAGTCTCCAGCAAGGTGCTGGGTTCAGCGGCTCTTTTACAAGTTGTCAAGCACCATCAGGCTCATCTGCGGCCGACCTGACTCTACTACCCGACGACCACACGGATCCAACGTCCAAAAAGCAGGGCCATGGTCCTCTCGCAGAAGTTGTTTCGCTGTTCCCCACATGCTCACGTCTACAATCAACTCTAGAGCCTGCCGACATCACCAACACGCTGTCCAAGCTTCCTACACCTGCGGAAACGCCCTTCTGGTCTGCTCGGCAGTTGAAAACTGTCGATCGCGTACCCATCGCGCCTTACTCGTTAGAGAATATGAAAGGAAGCCGCGACTTGAAAGTGTTGGTGGAAACCAAGATCAAAAAGTCCTCTAGTTGTACAACGCCGCTCGATGTGATGGGGCGAACAGGTGGCGCTGATCCTACTACAGGTTCAACATTTTTAGGCGGTCCCAGTGTTCCGCATCTCGAATCTACAACAGCCTCGGGCTATCAGTCTGGAGGTGAACAAACGGAAACGCCTTCAGCATCTTCAACAAGTAGACTGTTGCCTCCGCACTTGCGACAAACAGCGCGTCTGACAAAGGGCGGCAAGAAACTAGTGACTGTCGTCTCCGGTGAGGACGCACGTCTGCGAGACTTGACGATAGCAGCAGCTTCAGCGACGCGAGCGCTGGACTCCGAAAGCGTCTCTGCACATATCGATCTGTCTGTCGATGGGTGGGAACTCAAAGGCCTAAATTTAGCAAGAACTGGCGTCCATTGCTACCAGATGGAACGCGACCCAGAATGGCGAGCACCATTACGCGCAGAGGATTTCTATTTCGCCAGTGAAGAAGAACTTCTAGCTGCGCGTGAAGCCATCGCGAGAGACCCCACCTGTCAAACTGCCGAAGACGTGATCGCACATCTAAAGCAGCGACACTTAGATAAAGCGGGAAGTTTGTACTCACCAAGACAACCGCACACACCTTATGAGCCGGTGATGATCCCAAGAGCAAAATCGGGAGAGACGGACTTAGACGTCTTGGCACAAGGGTTTGCTGGAAACGCTGCCGATTTCGAGCCTAACGATACACCATTGCAGGTTGTGTGTCGAGGAATCCAGGAGGAAGTGCGAAAATTATGCGTGGTGCAATCAACTGTTTTGATCAAAAACAGCTTTGCGCGCACACCTTTGCTAGTGGAAATCGAAAGTCCGGATCCAGACCATAGACCACATTGGGAATCGTATGCGAGGTTTATCGGTCTTCGCGCAGGAGGAGCCAGTGGCAGCGTTACCATGAACAACAGCGACGGCCGAACTCCATCGTCGTCTTCCCGTAGCAAGATGAATACCCAAACTTCCTTCGTCGGCTCACAGCGCCGATGTGACTACGTCGTCTGCCAGCCTGAAGAGGAAGTTTCTGTTCCATTAGACGCCTGTCGCAGTGGGGTCCTTCGCGTTGCGCCATTAGTGGAGCATGGCGGTTGCTTAGCCCGTTTGGAGGAAATCGTGATGCAGTGTGCGTCAGAGGAAGCTGAGCATATAGCAATGGCAGAAGCAGAGGCGCAAGAAATGATGCGTCGCCATCTTCAGGGCAGCTCTGAAAATACCGGAACAAGTGAAGATAGAACAAGAAACATTTCCCAGGCATTTCCTTCTCAAGCTCCAGCGGGGACTGTGCCGCGAAGCAGAACCGGTGAAGAGGGAGATGAAAGAGCAAATAGTGCAACGACAAGCGGCATATCATCATCCAGTGTTGGAGTCGCTTCTGCGTTGTTCACCCCGACTAGCGAAGAACTCGCCAGAGAGCTCCGCGAGTTCTCCACAGGTCGACGAATTTTCTTAGACCGCGTTTGGTCTTTCGCCGAAGTCCATGACCGCTTTGAATTCCCGAAGGAAGAGGTAGCGACATTTTTACACTATACGACAGGAGGAGGACGCTATGGGGGTAATGCTAGTGACAACCAGAATAACCGCGGTGGGAGGAGTGGAGATGATGCAACTCCTACTTATCCAACTTCTGGCCCTCAGAAAAACGCAGCTTTTTCTCAAGGGTCAGTAACGCCTTCTCGACCCAGTGGCGATGTGGATCTACAACTAGCTGCTGACTCTTCATCGCCGTCTTCTAGCTCCAGCACGACTTCAACGTCAGAAGATGAAGCTAGCCCACAAGCACAAGGTGGCGCCAGCACTGGGAGATCAGTTTCCCGAGTTTGAATACTGATAAATTGCAAGTGCACAAGTGCTGCGGCATTGCTTCCCCCCCCACCTGCTTGCAGAGATCGAAGCAAGGTTGTCTACAGTCATCTTTTTTTTTGCATCCCTCTCTCTCTTCCTGTTGTGTAGTTCTTGTTCGCGAAGACTGAAATAACGATTATTGGCACATCTGGGACACTGAATGAGTTAGCAGGCCCTCTCGTGTACATAGTTTCAACTAGCATGCAGCGCTGAGGTGCGAGAATAGGGCCGGGCTTTCGGTACTCACTGCAGTGCTACACGAGAGGTATTACGATCGAGCAGCAAGGCAGACGAAGAGCACCTATGTTGAGACCACGGGAAATCACAAGTCTTCTGGTGTTTGTTGCACGAGGCCCCATCCATTGGCAAAGACTAGAGAACGAGCTATATTCCCTTACTGGCACAAGGACTGTTAGGCGAAGGACGGCGGTTAGAGATCCAACACTTGCGTCACTTTCTCAGCAAGAAGTGGGTAAGAGTAAGACCAGGCGTATCTAGTATTCAGCTGTCGCGTAAAGAACAGGAAGTGACGTCGTCAAGCGAAAATGAGGCTCATCGATTTTCTGCTACTTTGCGTTACCATGCATTTATTGCGGCCTGAGTGGACTGTTTCTTTGTGACTAAGAAAGTAAAGAGCACTAGTGGCACTGTCAATATTTAACTATCGTAGTGCCTTAAGACCTCTATCTCCTCCAATCCAGCGCCGATTATCATCATCAACGTTCAAAATCTATCGTCTTTTGGCTTTCATTGTTGGTTTAGCAAGAAAAGTTCTATCTTGAGAGCAAAAATCTTCGGTCAGGATTTCCTAAGAAGTGGTCTAATCTATATAAAACAGAGAAAAGATGCCGCAAACAAAAACAGTCCAGTGCCCCATCTCCAAGAAGGAGCACAATATGGAGGTGGAGGAGGGTAAGTGTCCAATCAGCGAAGAGCAGATCGCTGCTGCGAAGCAAGGAGTCTGTCCCATCAGCGGAAAAAAGACAGATATTTAGGGCTAGTTGTTCGTCATGTTGTCTAACTTCGTGAGTGGGAACGCCTCGAAAAATTTCAAGGAGAATGAAATCATATATGCTCCAGGGTTCAGGGTAGCGGCCCCCCGAGCGCGGAGGAGGCCGTGGATCCCCGGACCCCTTTCGGAGGCGTCTGCCGGGGGTGGAAGGCTTCCAAAGGGGTCCAAGGGGCTGCCTCCACTCCCTTCCAGCTGTCTGCGCTTACCCTACAGACTTCCTATGTGCTGGGCCCTCGCCGCAGCAGCAGCGTGCCGGGTGTGGAAGGCCTCCGAAGGCGGCAAAAGGCGCAACAGGGCTGGACCCCCTGAGCCGTGTGACCTGTACCCTCCGAGCCCTTGGTCTGTCATCGGCTTGCTGGCTCTTGCCGCGCATTTGATGGGGGCAACCCAGCAACAGGGGCCAGGCCTCGAGGCCGTGGCCGCTTTCGGCGGCCTTCTATCACGGAGACCGCCGGCCTGCGGGGGTCGGCAGGGGCCACAACGTCGCTTGGGAGCATGCAGTGAGGCGCAAGGGGACGCCCGCTCCCAGTTTTGACGCCTTCCACCCTGAGAATCCGCGAAAAGCACGCAGCGCGGAAAACAGCGCGCAAGCGCCACCGCGGGGCCATCCACAGGGGGGGGCCGTGCGTCTTCGTCTCATATATTTAATTAAACTAATAGGAAACAGTCACGACTATCGCTAAGGCACCGCAGGCATGTGCCCTACCAATATGGAAAAGAAGACCGAAGGAAAATATTCCGAATGCCCCATGAAGACGAAAAAGTGCCCCGTCTTTCACTGATAATGAGAGGCCTGAGCCGCGAGAGATGGATGAAAAGTTTTCGTACCATGTTGCTGCAGGTGCCACTTTGTATTTATAGAATATTGCTCCTCTAGCATTCCCTGTTTTTGAAACAAAAACAACCATCTGTCAGCAAGCGTGGTCTTTCATACTTGACTCGATGGCCATCAGTATTCAATGAAGGATGAGAAAGCGCGACGATTCTATTCTTCATATTGACGAGGTGGACAGCATGCAAACTCAGTCAGGTACTGCGGAGCACCAGCACCCTCCCTGCTATGTGGCTTCTGCTGCGTTCAACGACCGACTTTGATGTTCAGTGTGCTCGATTACACGACGACTTGACGCATCGGCAGCTATCATGGCGACGTGCGGCTGAGGGAAGTAATCTCTTGATGAGTGGGTTGTTAAGCTCTTTGCCCAGTATGACACTGGAAAAAAGTGCTACAACTGGAAGAAGAACATTTGAATAGACGCAAAAAGAAGGGGAAGAAGTAGAAGATTACGTGGAGGATAAGAATATCGCGACGCTGTCGTGACTAAGGATGGTTTCAAGATCTGAAAATGAAAGGGTGGTTGATGATTCTCAAACTCATTAGAGAGGCATCGGGCTCACTTCTAGTTACTTCTTGTCTTGTTCTCCAAGTCAGTGAAAATTTGTTCGCCATAGTGCTCAAAAGCGAGTGGCCTGAACCGACTGCCTTTTTGCGAAATCTGTGTTAGATAATATATTTTTCTACTTATCAGGGGGACTCCGGGGGGACCTCATGGGCTGTAAGGTACTTGAAGGAATAGGATCCTGTTCTAATCATGTAATTGTGTAATAGATTTTTGTGTTTTTTGTCTTGGCTTCCTTTTTTAATGTCCTGGCTTGGTTATTTCTTTCTTGTTTTCCATTTCTTGCTGAACCTTAGTTTCCTGTTTCCTTGTCCTTCCTTTTGCCTGAAAACGCCAAACATAGTCACAAACCACTGGATCACAACAATCAAGTAAAAAATGAAAAAGGGTTTCACAAAAGTGCTAAGGTCAACACTCGGTTGCATGCTGTTGGGTTAATGTAAGAAAAGAGGATCCAACCGCCAAAACTACCGCAGATCTCACCTCAAGTAGCTCCTCCACATGACGCCGCTCAACCTGTACATCCACTTCAAGGATAGGGCTAGTAATGAAGCTCGCAATTATTATTTGTCTTTTGGTTTTCTTGTCTTTCTTTTTGTTTACTATCACACAAACATACCATTTACTTTCCTGGAAGACGAACTAGGATCCTAAATCCTGAACGCCTGATCCAATCGTGTTGCTCTAGTGCCCTTAAAAATACAGATGAAGTAAGATCATGATGATCCCTCAAATAATAAAATATATTAAGATCAAGATCCCTAAAGTACAGCAATAAAATCTAAAGAAAGATCAACTACCTAAGAACTCCGTGGATCTTGCGTTGAGACGTCGCCACTCGCGGAGCCAGTCGATGCTGCTCAAGTTGAACATGTTAACTTCAAGAGCCAGGGTTTAGTAGTTTATCTGAATTGTGTCTGTTTATCAGCATCTACTTGGTGGAGCTGGTATGAAGTCTTCTCACATCTTCTGCTACCTAGCTTAGCCTTCACCTGTCGTTATGGAAAATAAAACCCATCTTTTCTGTGGTTCTATATTTGTTCCTAGGCAGTTGGGAGTCTGATAATGTAAGTGAATAAGTTTTAGCAATGTTCACCGACTGGGATACCGAGCAACTGACTACGCCACTAGAATGAACACACTGAAACCACTACCACGCGCATGCAAGCCAGGGAAATCACCCGGGTCACTATTGCCAGCCTGCGAGTGAGAACGGTGGCGCGGCTACCACTAGGACACGGATGGGGGCGGTGAGTGTGGCCAGGCTGGTGATGGTGATGACGATGAGAACGAACAGGGAGCCGGGGACTTTGGTGGCGTTCATGATTTTGGCGGAACGTTGGGGAGCCTCTACGCATGGGAGGAACGAAGAACGAGGCAGGGCGAGTTGATTTGCAATGATTGAGATCAGAGCCAGGGGCAGGGATCTAACTAGACCAGGGCAGCGAAGTTATGCCGATTCTTCCCGGGGCAGTGACCTTTTGACCTTGTGCCTGCGTTCCCCCTCCCAAAGCAAGGACCACCATACGAAACACCACGCACCAGGTAACGCCTACACTTACTACACTTACAAACTCGAGAAAGTGGCAAAATGCGCTCTGGCTACTTTTCGCCGTGTTGCGCATGAGATAGCTGGCGCGTGATATTTGACACTACTCAGACCTGTGGCCAACGGGTCGGCACGGTTCGAGCCCGTTGGGCAAATGGGTGCGCGGGCTCTTCATGTGGTCGCGGACTGCGTGACGGTGACACCGAAGATCGACGCGCTTCGATCTTTTTGAACGAATAGGGGACCGGGGACCTTGGTGGTGTTCGTGATTTTGGTGGAACGTTGTGGGGATCTCTATGCATGGGAGGAGCGAGTTGATTGAATTGAAATCGGAACCAGGGACAGGGATCGAGCTGATGCTTCGCAGAGCAGCGATCTTTTGGTCTTTTGGTCTTGTGCCTACAATAAGCCAGATACATAGTGAAAGCTTGCAGCTGACGAACTCGCTCTAGTACTAGTTCTGACTGGCTTCCAGATCCAGACCTCCAAGGATCACTGGGGCTTTTTATGAGTTCATGGGCCGACGGGTAATGAGGAAAATTACGATAGAAAAAAGAGCTCAAAAACTGTGGATCTTCGCCGGATCATTATCTTCTGTCCATTTACGATAGCCAATTCTTATTTTTGGCGAAGTATCTTTATGGATGATCAGCCTCATCCGATAAGTAGGAGGTTTTTCTTTCCCCTGTACATAAGTCGAGGCGTGTCCGTATGCATCAAACACGAAGAGGAGCAAAGTGGCTCTATTTGCACTTGCCAAACAGCTTGCATCAATCCACTTATGACCTGCCATGTAGCTTCTAGCGTCATGCGTCTTCAACCTTTGTCTCCTTAAGATTGAGGATCAAACATACCGTCAGTGATCTCCGTACTCATAAGCGATAGCGTTAACTTCACCACTTAGCTGTTAAACCCAAGTCGACAAAGGATGGCTCTTCAGTCCTCGAAAAGGTTCTCCTTTCTGGGTCTTACTTTCGCGGTAATTGTGACCGCGCTCGGCAGTCCAATTTTGTCACTCCCAAATACAGCCCGAGAGATCGGTCCGTGGCCCGCAGTGGTGCTGCTGATGCTGGTAGCTGTCATCAACTCGGAAGTCGCGCGGCTGATGTCCGAGACATGCGCAGAACTAGAGGAAAAGCCACGGGAAAATGATCCTCGAGAGCCTTGGGACCACCTGGATTCGGATGTCACCTCATCGTCGTCCCCAAAAAGTGACGGAACTTCCGACACGCGTGGTGAAGTCAGCCGCTGGAAAGACGAGCGTGAGCCACTCCTAGAAGATCTAGAAAAGTGTGGACCAGGCTGCGCCGGAAATCAGAATCGCTTGCAACTACATGGGTTCGTGAAGGACAGCGGCAACGCTCCCAATGGCAATATCACCAGGCACGCACCACACGGAGGTTCCCAATGCTCTCACTTTGATGAGAAGGCGGCGGCCACCTGCCACGTTGCAACAGGTAAGGAACAAAATTGCGAAGGAAAAAAGCAGGCTGATGAAAGTGCGTTCACTGTGGACAGCTGTGAGGAGAATGAGCAAAAGTCTAATGGCGCTTTCGCCGTGGACAGCTATGGCAAGTACCTCGGCGTCGTCTTCAAACGGGAAAAAACGGTTCTCGTAATCGCACGAGCAGCCACCTATGTTGGGTACTTCGCACTAATGGTGGTAGACGACATCTTGCTTACCAGAATCTTCCTTCAAGTCGTCGAGCAGATCAAGTGGGTACGAGTGAACACGTGGACACTGAAACTTTACTTTTCGAGCCTGGTGCTCCTACCTTTACATTTGTGGCAGAGCGCTTCGTCGGAAAGTGCACGAACCTTCGTCACAACCACGCTGGCGGAAGGGGTGCCCTACGTGTTTGTGGTGATTGTCTGTTTGCTAGTCTACGAGCTGTGGCTGCAGGGCACAGGCGACCGCGCAGGAATTGTAAGATGGCTCGCAGACGAGGGGGAAAGGAGGCCCACATCAACATCAGCACTTGCTATTTCTTTTCCGATCGCATGGCACACGCCGTGGGGGCTCCTGGGGCTACGAGTGCAAGACAGGACAAGGGCTGAAGGTGCGGGTAACAGCGCTGGGGCGCTTCCGTCTGCGTCTTCTGCGACGGAGATTTGCCTCACAGTACTGCGCGTGGCGGCGTTGCAGAGTTACTCATTCATGGCCACCAGTCTTGTGCCCACACTGCGTGGGCGCGCAAAAAATCCGGACCAAATGGGATCGGCACATCTTCTTGCGGTCTTGTTAGCGGTGGGCGTTTTTTCGGGTATCATTTTATACGGGTACCACGTCTTTGGCAACGCGACGCCTGATCTTCTCACCGACGGTTTTCGCAGTAATCGGGACGACGCGCAAGAGGATCCGTGGTTTTTGCGTGTGTACGGTTATTCAGAAAGTAGCGCAGTCCGGAGGGCAGCGACGCTGCCGCAGCATTGTATGGGACGGCGGAAAGAGATCACGAGCGCGCACGATCTCTTCACCCACAATTGGCCTCAGAGCAAGGAAGGAAAGACATCATCTTCCGCACCGACTCCGGAAGCGGAGTCATCAGACCGCGGCCGTCCAATCGAGTGGTAGCGTCTTTTTACATTATAACCAGCAAATGCTGTTGACATTATGATAGAGCCTGCAGGTCCAATAGCAAGACAGAAGCCTTCCTATTAGGCTTGCCTAATCGCTTCGGATCTATGGAGGAAATTCTTAGTTGACGATGGGCGATCCGGGTCTTGCGACCAACGCTCTGACTAGCAAGCACCTCGTCTGTGAGTTTGGGTTCCAGCTTTCGAGTACTTTGTTGGAAATTGCACACTGTTAGATATATCTAGTCGCGAAGCAAAAGCAATATAATTATATTAACGCTTAATTCCTCCTCGTCATCATCGTCTTCTACTGAATCTTCTGAGCTAGATCTTTTCTGCACGACCTGGATAGTATTAGTTGGTAAGGGAAACCTTAGGCAGACTGCCGAGTAGATTCACATCGTCAGTATTAGTTGGTAGACGCAGAATCTCCTTTCTTCATTAATCAGGTACTCTCCGTGGACCATGGGCGATCCAACTTGGGGGTGCTCGTTCGTACTAAATCTGTTAGTGGCTCTCTGCCTGTTCACGACGGACATGCTATACACGGCGAGCTTCTTTTCTTCATCAGGTGTAACTTCTTCAACGGACGAATCAAGCCATACTTCTGTGAAGGAAGAGACAGAGGGAGAACACGGAGAGCAGGATGCACAGGCAAAGGACGCTCGAATAAAAAGGAGCACCTCGCCGGCGCAGTGGTGGCCGCGCGTCTTCAGACTCTACCTGTGGCCAGTGGTTGTAGCCTTGGGGCGCCTCCTGTGTGCGCTGCTCGTGCCCCACATCGTGGAGGTGGTCGGACTAGTATCCAGTATGAGCCTGGTCGTCACAGAGATCCTGCTGCCCCTCATAGGCTACTACAAGGTAGTCGGAGGCGGGCGCCCTGCCTTCGTCCGCCGCATCTTCCATGCCTTCATCCTTATTTTCGGCTTCCTTATGTTCGTGTTGGCGACCTACGCTGGTGTGGTGCGGCTCGCCCAGAAGATCATGGCTGATCATGGCAGCACCAGTGCAAGTCAAGAAAACAAGGGGAGGCCACAGCCAGTATGCAACGGAGAAGAGGGCCTTCTACATTTGGAAAGCTGAGGGAGGACGAGCGCCTTTCTGGAAGCATCAGCAGACAACTTTTATACGCGCCAGAAGCTTCACGACCAGAGAACGCCCGCTAGGCTAGTGCCAGGCTTGAACGTTTTGCAGCGGTGCCTTAAATTTTTACACATGATATGTAGATGAACGAGGAAACGACGATGGAGCCCATTTTAGGTATGAAAATGACCAGGCTCTCAAAAGATGACGAACAAACTAACACGAAACTGCACCGAAATATAGCACGCTTGCAGAATTGTGCGCTTCTTGCTGATGATGCTCTCTCCAAATTACACGCAGATGCATCTGCTCCACCTTATCCTCTTTTCTCTACTCACATAATTACCAGGATGTCGTGCGCACTTGTGAGGGAACGGAATTGTGGAGAATACCTGCGTCCGCGCCCTCTGTATATGATTATTGTTTTTCTTGAGACACGCGCCCGCAGTGTGCATAAACCTAATGATTGACATGCGCTGCCCCTTCTTCACTAGCAGTCTTCCCTTTTTCTAAGTGTCGGTAACATTCTCGGACTCAGTTCCTACGTGTGGAGGAGTATCTGTCATGAGAGAAACCTGAATTCAGTGTGCTCCTAGGAGGTTTACACTGTTTCTCGGGTGATCCGCCGGTCCCCCTTTTTTGGAAACCGATTGGGATCTAGTGTGACATTTTCTGTTGAGATTTTTTTTATCACGAGAGAATCTACATCCACAACATGGAGCGCATGATGATATTTAGGGACTCTAAAAATTATTTTAGTGGTAGACATGCGAGAGTCCGGTGTCTGTCTGAGTATTTCATCTGTTGCTCTATTATGTCTTGTGTAAGTTGAGAGACTACCGATGATAAGACCAACCATCCCGGTTGGTCTTTCCCCTCTTGTCCTCATACAATCGCTTCTCAGAGAAAATCGAGCGAAGCCCGCATTGAAACGTGAATGATTAATTTGAAAATTTCATTTTTTCTTATTTTTTCTCTGATGACTCCCTATATCTTAGTAATATTTCATTATGTTACTGCTGCACGATCCCTTTATCAAAGAGCGCGAATTTCTCTTAGACCTGGCAGCTTAACTGATCGTAATAGTACTTATATTCAGTATTCACAGAGTGGCTCCTTGTTTAATAACTCTATGTTACTTCGCGGCAGATCACCCCTTCGGGGCGTTTAGAGTAAAAGACGGACGTCTTCAATCATTATTTACGTTAGAGTTTACGGATAGTACTAAGGGACAAGTAAGCGCATTCTTTCAAATAGAAAAGATAAACTTTGGGAGTATGTTAGTGTGAGTCGGAGAACAAGCATGCAGCGTGCGTCTTACCAAGGAGCCGCAACATGCCAGACGGAATTTTGTAAAAGTAGGAAGCGGTGGAAGACATATGCCAAATATGGGGCGACGCGGCAGCCATCGTTTTAAGGAGACGCCGCAAGGCGTCTGGGTGGTCTATTCAACGTTGTTCTCAAAACTTCATACTATTTTAATTATTTCTACTATTAACATGTGTCCTCGATCTGTCCCTGTAACTCACATCACTCTCATGTCATCTCCCTTCTAACTTGTCCGGCAGCACACGTAGAATAGCAGGAAAGACGACGACCGCGGGAAACTCCTGCACTAAAAGTGGGACTCAGCTAACCCATCAAGCCAAGTTTTGAGACGCATACGTCGGGAGAAGGAGATAACGATGTGACGGAGTAGAAAAAAGTAACAGGAAACCTCATCAATGCGACTTTATAGTAACTTAGCTGTAACGGCAATTATTGCCACTCCCATTCTTTCACCAGGCCGCTTTCATCACGCTTTTAGCTCCGCGCTGTAGATGACTGGTGAGGCATGTGACTTCACCGGTCGAGATCTCAAAAACATTAGTTAAGTCCGATCTCTGCGCTTAGGCGTAGCACAGGCTTGCTTCACTGATTTCGGGTTTGCTAGTCGTAGTCAATTTTTTTAACTGTCAGTACAGTTCATGTTTTAGGTGGTTCATCAGTAAATCCATCATCAGTGTTGCGGCGTGTCATACCCCTGCAGGTGTGCTGACTTGCTCACGGGGCCCCGCTGCGTCGGGTTGCGCCTTAGGTTTTCTACAGGAGTCGAATGTGCGGCTTCTCCGATAGATGTAGATTTGTGGCCGATTGTCCGGTCTTATGCGCACCCAGTATGTAATTTGGATGATCCTATAAATAAGGAGGTAAATAATTGATTGAAAGGGTGGCAGCATATAGTCCTAACGCAAAAAAAAAAAAAAAAACCTACGGTCGTTAAAAGTAGCGATATCAGGGACTCACACATGACTGCGACTGCATTGTTTCAAGTGTAGGGCAGTCTACGTTGTTTCAAGTGTGTTGTCAAAAAGTCTTTGGTGGTCCAAAAGTCGTATAATATGAGTGTGAGTTACTTTTTACGTCTTCGAACTCAGCCCGTATCAGTCAAGTCAAGAAAGGTGGTCTGATGTGATACATGGCAAGTGTTCGCAGCTCTCGAGCAGGGGTGCACGTTCAAAGTGCTCGACGAGTTTGGTCTGGTTCGCATTCTGTCTAGCAGGCGAATGTAGTGGCCTCAAATGTCCTGAAGTTCTCTAATCCGATGCTTATTGACAGGTCAATATGGTGATCGAAAAAGAACAGGAATTGCCCTCTCTTTGTTTGGTGTGTGTGAAGTGCACTTTTCCCTAATCCCAGCCGTGCTGGAGCCATGGCCACTGCAAGACCCGCTCTTTCAGCATGCTCGGGGTACAAAAAAAATCGCAACCCAGGAGTTTTTTAGTCTTAATAAACTTAAGCAATCTGATAGAATTGGATAGAATCTACCCCGATAGGGCATCGCAGTACCTAATCACATTTGCTGGTAGATAACCTTTTTTGGAGAAGACAGACAGTTTCAATCTCTCTGCAAAAAGCCTAGTTGTACAAGAGAAATCGAATTCAGCAACTAACTTTCAGGCGAAAAAACCTTAGGAAGAAGAAGCCAGCGTTACATTATGAAGTAGATTACATTGTCTGACACGCGGCTTGCTCAACAATACCTAGTGGCCACATCATTTTACAAGCTATCATTTTCATCGGCGTGGTAGTTTTGTTCTCTACTTCTCCGTCGACTTGCACTTAGCCGCAACATAAAAATGTCCGCCAGTACGACCGCGCATCATCCGTATTACGGGTTGTTGGTCTCCAATGCTGCTTTCGATGCAAACACTGTGCCCGACGACGCTAGCGGGTCGCTCGTTTTCGCATTCTTTCCGAAAAGTGCATGGTTTGCGTCTTACGCAAAGGAATACTCGAGTAAACATGAAATCCTCTTGACAACGGAGAAGACAACTAGCACGAATGCTTCTTCGGCGCCGGCGGACTTTTTTGCATTGTTGCCAAAAGTACTCCTTAGAATACTACATACCCAGTAATAGTTGGAGGTCCGTCAGTACTTAGCAGCTTTGAATTATAGTTCTGATCGACTTCGTTCCTTCTCAAGAGTTTTTTTTTCCGCAGTCAGCAAAGAAGTAATTCCAGAATTGTTCCTGTGTTAACTTTTTAAGAGCAATTGAGCTACTTCATCTCAGTCTACTTATAACTTACTTTCTTGGTTCGTTGTTGTACAGGCTCATCCTGCGCTGTACAGTGAATTCGCGTGGCGTAGTTTGAGTGCGCTGCCTGCAGTTCGTCCTGGTTTCGATTTCGCTGTGCTACCTGACTGGCCAGCTGTGCGCGAATATGTGGACGCGTTTCACAGCTCCCTGTCGAAGAGCTCTTCTGTCATGTTTGTGGACCTTCCACTGCCGTCATCTACTGCTCCGTCGAGAGGGACGCCCTTTTTCGAAAAGGCTTGGGCACACGTGGTCGCGCAAATCGATTCGCATTTGATGACGAACGCGGCAAGTAGTGAGTCTTCCGCCATTTACCACTTGTACCCGATGTTTTGCGAGGACGCACTGGGAGAACTGTGGGACCCTCGTGTGACCACTTTTAGCGATGGAGTATCGAAACGAATCGGCTCGATGATTGGCGATCGCGAAAACTTGGATGGTAAAGGCCGCGTGCGACCGGTTTGTTGTGCAGAGGCGAAGTCGTGGCTGCAGCCGCCTCTCGAGTTGGCGACTTGTGGTGGACCTCAAAAAATCCCTCGGGTAGGTGTTGCAGCGTCAATGTCTACCGCAACAACTACCGCGGGCTGTTTGTCGATCATCGAATCCTCACAGGGAGAAGCCTTTCAGGAAGGATGCGGCACGGAAAGCGAGTCACCCGAAAATAACTCTAACCGCGGGTCTCCTGTGATTTCTGCAGAGCGACTAACTCCGCTCTCGTCGCCTGCCTCCACGCTTCCTGCGAATATCGCCACAAGTGAGGCCGAGCAGTGTGCTCTGGGTGTAAAAAGCTTCTACTTCATATTCTTTTCAACTTGGTTTACAATAATAGCATATACAGAGTAGTTTATAGCACGCATGGCGCATGGAGTAGCATGGAGTGCATGGAGCGCAGAGCTTTAAGGGGCGCAAGAAGCTCCCCGCCCTTTAGCTCCATGCTACTCCATGTGATCCATGCACTCCATGCCATGCGAGCTGTGAAACCTCATAAATTTCTCTGGCATAATCATCTCTACTTTTTGAGGGTTCCCTCTTGCACGAAGAACCAGATTAGAGGACGACCTTGCAACGTAAGGGAACCACATAACCTCAGACTATTTATTCCGCCATCGAATTGATAAAGATGACATGATGGAGAGATAGACAGTAGTAGTCTGAGTGACCACTGTTAATTTTTCCCTTTGGAGGAGGATCAAACAGATAGGCTTCTAGATTGGATCAATCATCATCAATCATCATCAATCATCATCAATCATCATCAATCCTCATCAATCATCATCAATCATCATCAATCATCATCACCACTTCACGCAGGTTGTTGCTCCTGAAGAGGAAGAGAAGCCTTTAACGGAGAAAGCTTTGCGGAATCATGATAAAGGCTCGAAGCTGATAGTGTCGGAAAAGCAACAACTTTCGAGCGCGAGTGTACTAGCAACATCACCAAACTCTTGTTACCCCAGCGCTGTTTCGAGTGGTACCTGCATCGGGAATGCAAATCCTCCGAACGGGTTTCGATGCAGTGGTTACGCAGCAGTGCGTGAAGCTGTAAGAATTCTCACGGAAGTGGAAAAGCGTGACGCCATTCTGAAATTGGCGAAGGGACGCGGTGGCGTCGGCATCCTCCCGTATGTGACTCTTGAAAAACTCGAGAAAGACAAAATGAAGTTTGGCTTCCATGACTTGGAAGACGATAGGAGAGGTGAGACGCCAGTTTTGAATAAAAACTGTCCTCAACTAATTCCCTCATTTGCATGAATTCCTTCTCTTCATCGTCTCTCCGAGATCGCCGTCACTTTGCGAAAAGACCAGACAGCTTCTCAAGCTTTAGATGGCATTGCCATTCACATGCGGGAAAACATCTCTGAGAGAGTACTGAAATGTCGGGAGTAAATTTGGCGGCTCGACTAAACATTAAGTGATAATGTAAACGACACTGATAATTCGCCACAAAAAGAGTCTAACTATAAAAATGAAGAAACTTGTGAAACAAACACAGTACAGAAAGACGGTGACGAATTCATTGTAAATTTCATATGCAGGTGAACAGCTTTCGGGCGAAATCGAAGATGCAGCGTTGTACATAGTAGAAGAGATGTTGGCCGGTGTGACGAGCTCCCCAACGCTGTACATGCTCGGTAACATCGCGATGCTGCCGCTAGCGGAGCAGGTGTTCGCGCCAAATAGCAAGACTATCAATGTCGGCAACTACTTTCCCGCGCGCACGCGCAGCATTCTGGAAGGAGAGCAAGCAAGCTGCGTTGCTCAGGCGGAGGACCTCCAGAGGTACTGGCACTTTCAAAACGTGTGGAATCTCGACTACGTAACAACCACCTCCAACAGCACCATTGGCGAAGGCTTTTCGAGGAACAGCCGGTCTTTCGTGGTTGACGTAAATTGCGGCCGAGTGCCTGGAAATCTTGCCGCTCGACTCTTCCTTGCCCGCAACTACGAAAAGTCAGCACAGCAGGGCTCTCTGACAACTCTTCTTCCAAGGGAATACAGCCACGACGTATGGAACAACTACCCGATTTGCACACTCTCCATGGGAGTAAAAACCCGCGCAGACAACATGCACGCGCTGGCACTAGCGACCGCACTGCAAGACGCAGATTTCCAAATTCTTAACGACACAACTGACTGGGGAAATGGCACAACAGCGAAAGACGGTCTTTTGCTGCTCTACTACGTACCGGGGGACTGGTAATAATCATTTTATATATAGATTAGTTTTTGAATTTTGTTTGACTGTCTCTTCCAGTTCGGGTTGTGATCGTGCCTGAATAATACACGTTTCAAAAAGCGGAAGCTACGTTCTTCTCTTGGAATTAACGGAGACTAGATGTGGATGCCACTTGTTGGGAGCAGCATCATGATCACCGTCTTCCTTTCTTGTTTGTGAGCTGCAGTCCAACTAAAGCCACTTGTGTTTCGTAGCACTTGCTCCTTTACCTTCGCCAAAAGGTTAAATGCAACGCTGGTCGTGGGCAAAAGTGCTGGCGCAGGAGGCTGGGACGAGGTAGACCAGATGGAGAAGAAATTTGTGGCCCTTCTTTCATCCCTCGGCTTCGACGTTGACGCGGACGTCGAGATTATCACTGAAATGTAAAAGCGAGCTACAGACTGCAGTGCGTGACTGTTTTGCTATGCTGTTTGGCTGATCTCAAGACTGCTTGGCTTAACCGCTACGACCACTGCTGCTATGAGAAGACACTCTTAAACACAAGATAAAAAGGACGATTGGATATTTCGTTGTAGAATACAGCCAGAACTTCCATGTAATATTGCCTCAACAACATGATCTGCGCATTGAAGTTGAGAGATTGTCACCGAAATTGTCGCGCACGAGAGAATTGCTCCACTTCCAATATCAACATTCTTGCAAATCATATTCTATACTACACAGGCTCGCTCACACTCGGCTCCTCCTGACACGATCATGCGTAGTGCGGTGGCACACGCAATTGTATATGTTAATAGTCGTTCTTATGGTATTAAGAAACTAGTTGAAGTGTTATATTTTTGTATTATGTCCTTGCTTTGCAGTAGCAAAAAGTAGATGCTTTCCAAGTTCGAAGCGTCTTCTTATTTGTGACTTCAGAGAAGTCAGGCTCAGGATGTAGAGCACATTGCAATATGACATGGCTACATGCTTAAGCGGATTGAAGATAGCGGTCAACCGATCGCGCTTCCGTAGAAACCAAGTTATAACTTTTTTTGCTGCGTTACCCTGCATCAAGCGGGCTTTCGCTGTTCCGAAAGCACTTGATCTGGTATAGGCAACGGCAAAAATTTAGTATGCTACCTGGCCGTCTTGCTGCAGGCTTCCCGATGAGGAAAGAGTTCGACAATGTAGTCTAGGAACCGAAAAAAGCCGCATTGGCCATGATGAGTGAGTGAATACGTGCCGCGATATCCCAGCAACAAGTGTCAAGTCGTGTTCTCGAAGTGAAGTAATGAAGATGCACCAGACACAGAGACTCAAAGACGGTGTTCCGGACGCGTAGCTGAAAACATTGAAACTTTAGTTGAGGCATAGTTCTAGTTGTACTTTATTACCGATCCTGCGACCATGGTGGTTATCACTAACAAACAAACAGCGTGATCCAAAATCGGGGCAGGGAGATGCTCCTCCCAGATGCTTTTTTTGTGTGAAACCAAGGATGCTTTTTTGTTTGAAATGCTCTCAGACCTTGTCTCTAGCTACGGCCATTATGAACGATGGCAACAGAGACTTCAGCGTGCGTCAAGAGTTACACGGTAACGCACTCAAGATACAGAGAAGGAACTCAATGCGCAAGAACAGCTTTTCAACAAAGAGCAATGAACTAGATGTCTATGTGTTGATGCTGAAGATGGTCCAAATGCGATTACAGAGGGGCTTCTAGTAGGAAGAGGAGCATCTTCGCCAGAGGTATCACATGGCCGCCAGTTGTAATTTATGATAAGGTCTTCGTCTTCAGCTCCCTGATAGCGAGCGTCATCTTCAACTTCTTGATAGATCTTTGTGTTTTGATGAGAGTCTTCTATTGCAGCAGCACGAAGACGAGACTCACGCTTTATCTAGTCAGATGTTCTTTCTGGGACATAGGATGGAACTCGGATAGACTCCTCGACGTATGTAGTATCGTCAACAATGATCGCGCACTCATTCGCCTCCAACACAGCCGCGTGGCGTCCCGTTGGAGGCGCAGTGCTTGTAGTTACAGGTGTCGGTGGCCTGTGCGCCGCGCTGTGGAAATTGAAGCTAAAAGTAAGAAGCACACAGGGAGCTAACGCCGGGGAGTTTCAGTTCGAGGCCGGAAGAGATAATGTCGGGAAAAAGGCAGATGCCGTTGGAGCTGGCACGGAAGTCGAGGAAGCCCGAATGTCAATTAACGGCGCGCAAACGAGAGGGGCCGACGCTAAATCGGGGTTACCAATGTGCGAAAATGGTCCAGAAGAGGTCGGGCTTTGTAGGAAGCGGCTGGCAGCGGTGAAGAGCTGGAGCGATGGATGGGTGGCGTCAGGCAAGTTCCCCGGCCTTCTCACCGTGATTCTCCGGAAAGGGAAGATAGCTTTCGCCCACGGTTCAGGTTTTGCGGACAGCGAGCACCGAATGCCGTTTCAGCTTGATACCATCGTTCGCATTTATTCCATGACAAAGCCAGTAGTTGCAGTGGGCATCATGATTCTTTATGAACGGGGCCTGTTCCAGCTCGACGAGAAGATCGAACAGTACTTGCCAAGTTTCGCTCAGCCGGTCGTGAAGGAGGAGCGGCCAGATGCTCCCAAAAAATTCGTCTTACGGCCAGCTTCGTGCGAGATCACGTTTCACCATCTGCTCACGCACACGTCGGGCCTGGCCTACGGTGAGGAGGATGAGCATGAAGACGACAGTAAAATAAAATCAAAGTATGACCCACCTCCTGTCGAGAGGGGGAGTGCCGCGAGCACCGCCAGTAGCGCGGACTACCTATCTCCTTCGTCGCTCGCTGATGAAAGCCTGCAGAATCCCGCTTTTTTTCCCCTTGGTGGCGTCGATGGAGACCGGCCACTGGCAACGACAGGAGAAGTGAACTTGGGTTACACTCGTAGAGGATTAGGCGGGGCAGATTTCAAAAGTCTCTCGTTGAGCGACTTCGTGGACAGACTAGGACGCCTGCCGCTCGCGTTCGACCCCGGAACCAGCTGGAAATACTCTTACAGCTACGATGTGCTCGGCCGCCTGATCGAAGTAGTTTCGGGGCAGACCTTAGACGAATTTCTGGAGGAAGCGATTTTTAGGCCTCTGCGAATGCCTGACACTGCATTTTGGCTGAGACAGCCAGACGCCTCTCGAGTAGCAGCGTTGTATGAAGTCGAAGAGCGACCGCCTCCGGGAGGGATTGAAGTGGACACCGTTGAGGACCGACGCCGCTTCGAAAAGCACGATAGCTACGCGCCTGTGATCACACTTCGCGCACTGAAACCGCTCGCAAGCAAGAGCTCCTTTGCTGGTATTGGATATACTGCAGAAACATCAGCTTCGGAACAATGCTTATCAGCTGCAGCCGAGGATGTGGCTGAATCTGAGGCGGCGAAAGAGCAGCTCATACCCATAGGTGCTGCGCAGCCTTCTTCTTCACCAGGCACAAGAGGCGGCGCGCAAGTAGAAGGCTCCCCTACGTCCCCGTTGCCAGCACCAGGGGGCAGCAAAGCTACGCGGCTGGCCATTCTGTCTCTGTGCTTACCGAAGCGGAGCGGCGTTTCACAAGAAGAAGCGCTGTTGCAAGAAAATAATTCACTGCCGGCTCCCGTGCTAGAAGTTCTGTTGTCGCAACTGGATGCCGCGGGCTATAGTCGGGTTCTGGTGGTGCTGGGCGGTGCCCGAAGGGAGAAGTACCAGGACGCCATCGAAGAGATGCAGCGGCAACGACGTTCTGAGCAGGACCTTCATGTCCACGATCTCGGGGCGGATTACCGTGGTGGATTCGCCCTGTCGCTGGCCAAGACCTGTGATACTGCTTTGTTCCAACGACTCTTCAATATGCAAGACGACAAGCAGTTCCTGATCTGTCGCCCGAGTCACCTTGTAGACGCTCATCTGCTGCAGAACTTAGCCCGTATATCTCTGAGCAGCGTGGCGCTGCAAGCCGTAGTACTCTGCGAGAGCGACATCCCGCCTGGCGGGTACGAGATGCAGAGTGCAGCTGTAAATGATATTCACTCCCAGGAGGAGCAGTACGAACGAAGCTCCACCCGCGTCACCCAAGGCCAAAGCGTCGGTAGCGCCGAGGCATCTCTTGTGGGGACGGGCACGGCATGCAGCAGTGAGGAAACCGTCTATTTGACTCTCGAGCGTACAGTGGAAGCACCGACACCCCATGGCCTGCTAAGTCACGCACGGACAATTGGGACTGAGAGGGAGCACGTTGCGCGCCACGGAATCGAGTTGCAATTTAAAAAAATCTTGCCGAGCGCGGTTTACTTGGATGATCAGAATGGTGATGAGCAGCATGGTGCGGCACTATCTTGGACAAAGCAAGCACGGGAGGGCAGCACGGCTCCGGCATCCGCTCCCCAGGCTCCAATCCTTGTCGCCGTGGAGATCGGCGCCTACCTATGCGGCACGGAGTGTTCCGCGTTACTTCGAAAGAAAAGCGACAGGAACGAAGAGTTCGGGTTGGCGGAATTCTTCGAGACCGAAGTGAAGCTTCTGGGGACGCTGCGAGCGCAGGGGCGTCCCTGGTTCGCAGTGAAGGTAAAGAACGAAAAGGTGGAGATTCTACGTACGTCGCGAACCATGATGCGACAGGGACATGCTGCCGGCCGATTCCAACTCGCAGCCGATCGGCTTTGGCCCTCGCCTAAGTATTCCGTCGCACCACGTGACGTTGAGGCTGACCTCGAACTCCCGACTGAAAAGAGAATCGGACTTCCGGATGACGACGTCGCTTCTTCACGAAAGGATCTGGAGCGGCCGGCCGCGGAGGTTGTTTTCTCTGGGACGAGGAATCACCGCCATCGGGCGCCGCAGCAAGTGCACGTGCAGCGCTTTCGACTGAAAAAAAGACTCAAAAAAGAGCAACTCATGAAACGCGACTCCCTCGGGAGGGGCTGCACGCCATGGGTGGTTGGTGTACCCGGTAACACCGTGAAACAAGTGGCAGCGCCAGCGCATGGTGCGCTTACAAGTTTAGCCGACCTCAGTTTTGGCGACGACGCGGAGATGGAGAGGACCGAAACAAGACCACATCAGAGCAGCAAAGCGAAACACGGAAGCACGCCGTCCGCCTCCTCCAGCAGATACGAATATGATGCCGCTCCAAGGTCCCGCCCGCCTATGCTCAGCGGAGGCGGTGGCCTCTTATCGACGGGTAACGACTACATTTACGAAGAAGATAAAGCGAAGTCGTAGTTGTGCCGGCTCCATTCATCTGATGCCTTCGCCAGGTAGCGAACATCTACTCTGCTCGTGCCTTCGCCAACAAGTCAAGTATTTCCTTCACCTATTAATTTCACTAACCGACACTTTTTCCATGAATGCGTCCCGCTTTTGCAATCAACGCTCAGTCCACTTCGTTTTTCACGTTAATGGTAACTGCTTTTGCAGCGCGGCGTCCCTTCTTTGTTTTGACCAGTTCTAGCACTCCAAGGCTAACCCGCAATCGTTTGTGCTCATTTTCACTGAATTAGTTCGCCTACTGTAGAAGGAACTTCATAAGGGTAACGAAATATTGGCTAGCACTAGGGCAGAGTAGACGGCCCTGACTGGTGTCTTGAGATGAATGGACTCAGCTTCTAAGTAGTGCGATTTTGCCAAATGTTGCTGAACAAGGGAGAGCTCGACGGTGAGCGGGTACTCTCGCGGCGGACCGTTGAGTACATGCGAAGGAATCACCTCCCAACTGAAGGTCGGAATTCGCGCCTACGCGTGGATATTGCCGACATTGCAGCCGACTCATCTTTCAGCGAGACTTCTTTTGCGGGAATGGGCTTTGGCTTAGGATGGAGCGTCGTGATGGACCCCGTGAAAGCCTCCCTTCTGTCTTCTCCCGGCGAGCACGGGTGGGGAGGCATGGCCAGCACATTCTTTGCGCTCGACCCCGCAGAGGACATGGCAATTCTGAGCTTGGCGCAGCTCGTGCCAAGCGATCGATACCCTACCAGACGACAGCTGCGGACCCTCGTCTATCAAGCGCTTCTCTGAGAAAGAGGCATATACTAGCTGCTAGCGAGGATGTTAAAGATATTTTTTATACTTACGTGGTGACTTTAACCTAGTGTCTCTCTACAACTTCTACTTATGTTGCACTTGGATACTTTTCGTCTGAGCAGAAGTTGGATAGCTCGATCGCCAGAATGTGAATGAGTGTGAATCTAAAAGAACTTGCCGCAGATCGGCGTAAATTTGAATACGACAGCTAGTGCATGCAGAACTACTGAATCAATACTAACGGCTGGGGTGAAAGAATGATGAAACTTCCGAAGATTGTTCGCTGACAGACCGACTTCAGATGATCATGTCACAGCAGAGCAGTTGTAAGTATTTCTTCATGCCACATTTTCACATATCAAAGATAATTAGGGAAGTGCAACTTCACAATCACAACTCACCCTGTCTTGTTACAGCTTACGGGTTTGATGTCAATGCGATCACTGAGAAGCTTCAGCTTCTCGAAGTAGTTCGAGCTGTCTTGAGATCTGTCGCATCAAGCACTTATGCTAGATTTAAGAAGCGGCAGACAAGCTGAGGGCGTCTCGAGTGAGTTTGTGATGCAGCCCAGTAGTCAAACACTGTATTTGTAGATCACCTTGTTGCATAATCCTCGTCTTCATATCTCTTGCTGGTATCGATTGCTTCTTGATGGAATAGTACTGGTGCGGGCCCCTTTCTTAAGTGGGACGCTGATGGTGAGGCCGAGTTCTTCAATCGATAAAGACTTCAATATTACTGCGTCTCGCGTCATGCATTTCCAATAGGGACAGAAGCGCGTCTTGACGCAAAGGGTGAATGGGGAGTACAGAAATGTAGATCCACCAGAACAAACTAAACCATAATCATGGCCGCGAAAGCGCAAGCGCTGTTGTTCGTGTCGCCCCGATTCGCAGCGAGTTTACTTTGCGGAGCACGTTACGCTTGTGGGGAGCTGATAGCGCTTGTAAACAACGAACGAGACGAGGAAAGCAAGAGATCCCCGCCGCCTACGCCTGATGTGGAGAAGAATAGTCCGCGGTGGAAGCATGATTCCGCAGGCGCACCACCTGTCAGATCTCCTTCGACACAGAGTCCACGCTCTTCTGGTGCCAGCTGCCGCTCGGATGCGAACTACACCCAACTACAAAATAGATTGGAACTCGAAGAGACCACGAATGCAAGTAGTAGCCTATCTACATCAAAAAGTATATGGATGATGTTTATTCCATCCTTACTACCATCGAGGCTGCTTCTTTCCCCTTAAAACTGTATAGCTGAAGGGGTGCCTCGATGGTCTGGCTAGATGGGAAGAACGTCATCCATAAAGTAGTAGCAAGGATAATGTGGCTTCTTCCACGTGGTCAGCAATTCTCCTCCAGAACGGCAAGCGGGTGTGTGCCTTCGCCACCTATGGTTTTTTGTACGCTTTTCTGCTCGGCTACAATATGGACACGGTTGTGTATCCACTCGTGCTCGGGCACAGGCCGCTCGTAATCGCTGTGGTGGATGTGCTGGTGTATTCCCCGTTTCTCTGGTGTCCTCTCTTCTACGTCGCTAAGGGAATGCTGGACGCTTTTTTCCCACCAGTTCTGGGCCTTGCGCATCGTCACGAGGCCTTGGTGGAGCACGCAATTCCGATGGGAGAGAATCTGAAGTTGTGGGGGACGACCGTGGCAGAGGTGGTGCCCACTGCGTTGCGGAAGTACTTTTTCGAAAGCTTCTGGAAGGATAATGGGGTGGTCTGCGCATTCTGGATTCCGGCAAACTACATGATTTATTTAAGGGAGGTGCTGGCTTTCTGCTCTACTCCGAAAACTAGTTGTCAGTAGATTATGCTATTCCAAATCCAAAGAGGGCCCTGTGTATTGAAGGTGATTGGCTCACGAGGGACGACCTTCTAAAAAAGGTAGCTAGTTGTCACCCACAACAAGGCGAAAGAGTTGCTCAGGAGTCAAGGAAGGACTTAATAGGTCAAAAAATAGCATTCTTTCTTCTAATGTATCGCTTCCCGCCGCTTGAATACCGCACACTGGCAGGGAACGTCATCGCGTCGTTCTGGACCTGCGGATGGATTGTCTGGAAGTCGGCGGCGGTGGTGCCGGATCCCACAGTCATCGAAGGGTCCGACCACGGACAACGCGTCATGGAACGGAACTACATCGCTGAGGGAGGCGCTAGCATCGCATCTCATCCCTTCCAGCCCGCGGGAACGTCGACCACAACCGAGGAAGAACCCGCGACCCTTACTAGGTAGTAGTATGTTTTTGGACGCCACCGAGTGGTGCGTCATTCGACCGAACTCATTAGTTTAGTTCGAATCCGCACTGCGCTCCTTGCTTGAGTCGAGCAGGTATATGTAGAATCTGAGGAAGTGCCACAATTGCGATACGAGTTTTCCGCCCCTTGTTTCACTTTCACAGATCGTCAGGCGATAAGCTGTCCGTGGCATCGAAAGACACACATGCAGAAGCTCTTGGTTTGAGCAGTGCTGAAAGTCGAGAATTTTTGTTTGGATTCGAAGCCTCGACTTCTGATGGAGCGACCACAGACTCGTCTTGTGGAACAAATACTACACAGTACGGCTCGCTCCCAGTGCTGCGCCGCGCATGTGGATCCGCGGCACAAGATGACTCGAGAGGAAAAATGTAGTAGCTTGTTTGCGCGAGATTCTGGTCAGAGAAAGCGCGTGTGGCTGTCGGCTCTGTGTAGGTAGTTGCCGTGTAACTACTCGGGACAGTGCGATGCAGTTATCTTTGTCTATTATGTACTTTTTGGACAGGAGGGAGCTGAGTGCAGGGCAGTGGGAAACAAAGTGTTGCTTCTACATGGTTGCAATGAATGAGTGGGAGAAAAAGACAAACTTTTGGAAAAATATAGAAGGCTGCGCTTTCAAGTGATCATATAATTGGCATGGTGGAGGGAGTTTTTGTATAAACTTTAGGTCGGAAATAAGTCTTTGGGTACTTTTGACTTAAGAACTTGAAGTGTCGATGCAATTCATTTCGACAGACAAGGCATTGCGCACTGTTTCCTTCTAAGGAATACGAAAAAGTGGCAGCAAGAAGTGTAAACTGTTTTGAGCTTAAGAATGAAGGAACTACTCTGCTTTTCAGATTCAGCTTGGTTATTACTTGAAGACTTCGTGCGTGGTCCGGATGGATTAGTAGACTAATTAATATTAGAGGGTGAGAATACCAATACGAAGGAAAGGAAAAGAGAGGTGTAGTGGATGTGATGAAGCGCAGTGAAGTAGAAGTCTGTCGAAAACGCATCTCCCGGATGACGTCACATATGGTTCTCGGAGGTCACCGTTTGTGCTCTAAGAACGATGGACCTTAGGAGTGATGGGTTACTAGATGACGCGTTGTTCCTTTGCATATTTATAATTCGGAATTAACTCCTCAATTGATCTATATCGTAAGATCCTATAATTACAAACTAAAGACCCTATAGGGCAAGGAATACTAAGTAATTTGTTGTGTTCAACAACGAACATAGCAGGTTAATAGTATGAACGGGCTAACGTCCGTGCCATCCCCGTACGTAGTAAGTCTGAGAAAAAGTTAAAAAGACCAGAAGAAAGTGAAATAAGAAAAAGAAAGAACTAGTTCTCCGTTGCCTCACAATTCTGATTGTGGTTGCCATGGAAAGATAGCCTTGGCAGCGTAGCTATGGAAGGCCATCAGATCAGAATTTGAGCCAACAAGAAGAGGATCAGTAAGGCCCAGTAGTTTACAAGCCAGAAGAAAGAATAAGTCAAGGCCAAACTGGTCAGCACTTTTGGGCTAGAGCAAAACAAGACGCCTAGATCAGAAACTAGCTCTAGTCTATTGTTTGTCCAAGTTTTAAGATCCACTGAAACTTAGGTGGTTAACAAATGAAGACTGACAATAGGCGAACGCGACGATGGTGGAGGAAGTGTTCGCCGATAAGAGAGATCAAGTCGAGAGATTAATGTGAATTATCGTGGCTGGTGTAGGTTTGGGATAATTCGGAATTAACTCCTCAGTTGATCTATTTCGTAAGATCCTACAATTACAAACTAATACTAAAGATCCTATAGGGCAAGGAGTACTAAGTAATTTGTTGTGTTCAATAGCTAGCTCTTTTTTCTTCCCCACCGCCCCCCCCTTACACAATGCCAGGAAGGTCTGCCAGGTTGCTGGCCTTCATAGAAGACAGACAAAGTAGACCAGTAAGCGAGTTTGTCGCATTTAGCGACCAGCTAAAAGCAGCACAGCCTTGTAATCACAAGAAGTGCAGCACAAGTTCAGAAGAAGTGAGCGGTAGAACAAAAGAAGCGGTGGCCAGAAGTCTGGTTGCCAGTGAAGAAGTGAAGAAGAAAGAAGTACTTCAACTACCAACAGACGTCTTAAACAAGTTTTGCAAAGGTCTAAAAATTGAGCAGGGTATAACGCACCATGCAGAAGAAGCAGTACGTCTACCGTTAGATGCCGAAGACCAACAGCTAGCAGAGTTGCATCCCCCTCCCCCCGTCAATGGCACTGTTTCCGAAGATCGCTGCAGAGCAGCCTTTGCGGCCATTCAAGACGATGTAGTGGCGAGAATTGAGCGACCAGATTTAAACTCCGAGAAGAACAAGAAAAGGTGCTTCAATCGACAACTAGACAACTCTCGCCCATCTTCATCCATAGTTCCTTTCGTCCCAGCAGCTCGTAGAGTGGGTCCAGGCGAGTTAGTAGATTGGACCACTACGCTTCAATTGATCAACGAAGAACTTCTTCAATTTCCGCAGCGTCGCCCAATGGGTACTCCTGTAGTAGACGCCCAGGCGGAGGAGTTTAAAAATTTCATCGAAAAGTTAGACGCTGGGGCTAGCCTTTTTGGCAAGCAGTCGAGACTGGCTGAGTCATCACTTAGATCATATAGGTCGGCTTACAAGAAGTGCATCGAGATGATGTTGAGCATTTCTCTCCATCCTCATCCGAAGCATATTAGTGTCAGGTCAGTGCAATTGCTTGCGCAGGCTTTCCAGAAGTGCAAGCAATTCCAGAAGTCGAAAGCGCAGGATATCGAGCAGTTCAAATGTTTTGCAGACTTGATTAAACCTATCGAATCGTCCACACGTAGAGCAGTGGCGCAAATACAAAGGATGTCTCTTCGGTCACGACCCATACAATTCCAGCAGCAAGGGGCGAGGTTGAGTCATATCAATCACTTGCATGGTCTTGCACTTGACTAGCGTGCCACTGGCTACCATTGTGGTCGGAGATAAAAAAGCGCAAGCGGTGTCTTTTCTTAGGTTCGCCATCTTTTGTTGGTTTTACATGATGCGGCTAGACGAAACTTCTACAACCACTAGAGAACTCACAAGAACCAGCTGCAAAATAACAGTGGACTCTTCGAAAGCCAACCAGTTTGGAAGGAAGATTAAAACAACGGAGCTCCAATGTTGTTGCGATACCGCGCCAGCAATAGGAGCAGGCTTCGTCAAGATTTGCCCGACCTGCTGCTGTTCAGAGAGGGGATTTGCATACTTTTCGAACGTCCATTCAAGGTCGCTTCTAGTGTTAATGGAAAACCTTCTACACATGACTAATGTAGTCAATCCAGCCGCTGTCGGAGAACAAGAGAAGAGAGTGATGATGTTACACGCGTTGAGGATAGGGGGAGCTAGATCAGCCGCTGATGGTGGTCTCGAAGATCATGACACTCAGACTGTAGGAAGATGGGCTACGGTGGATAGCCTACACAGGTATATGGGCAATGCAAGAGCAGCACCGGACTCGGTAGGTTTGCGCTGGCCATTGAAGAAACCCTTAATCTTTGGCCCACGGGTTACTAGTTGGGCTATTGGCCCTGTAGGTGAGACATCTTCCTCAACAAGTTTTGACTGTGGCGGCTTGTCATCTGCGACGTCCACCCAGACCGGTAGCGCTGGCAGACCTTCCCCATATTAGAGACCAAGTTATATATCTGTCAAATCAACTCCCCCTCAGTGTGTCTTTCCCTCAGGTGGTTTTTAAATAAGTTTTAAGTTTAAGTTTATTTGTTGCTAACATTTCCTCTCCTGTGTCTAGATAAGTTTCTAATAAGTTTCGCGTTAATTATTTTCTTGCCAAATACACCTAGAAAAAAATGGAAGGACTTCAAGCCTTCGGCCTTGTGCCTGAAGATGGAGCTGCGCCGGTCCTTTTCGCAGCAGATCCCATTCCCATCCCACAAAATGCGCTCAGCGCCATGATCCAGATGAGCGATAACATTGCCAGACAACAGGCAGCACATGAAAGCGAAGGACTTGGTATCCCTACAGATGGCCAAGTCCAACTGGTCACGGAACGTTGCCAGTTGCTGAGGCACAAGTGCACTCCGGCGCAGTATCTATTCTTATTGCGCCAGCTTCAAGCTTACAACTACGAGAAGCTATTGAAGCCGCCGGCCTCGCTCAATTTGTATCCGTTAGCGCTAGTGGCAGCCTTTCGATGCGCGCAGATTATCGACGACGTCGACGCCAACACATTGCAAGAGACAATGATGAAGGCAGTAACGGGCTCGCTCGATCCTAAAAGCACCGAGGCGAAACTTTCTTTGGCTGCTGTTTATGATTTGCTTAATTCGTCGATGAAGGCAAATCTCGCTCACCCCGCACCAGTGGCCCCAGGGCCAAACGTGCAGCAGAGGCAACTACAGGCGACAATCGTTGGCAACGTCCTCCCAGACCTCATCTCAAATGTAGCGACTGAGAAGAGGCGAGCTGGCCTTGAAGCAGAACTGGCGAAAAAAATGAAGAATGAAGTAGCGCAGATGGTTCAGAACCAAGTAGCAGCCAAGACAAAGCAGCTCGAAGCTGAGACTCGGAATCTCAAAACTGCAAGCAGAGGACCCCATAGGGGAGGAGAGTCAAGGTCTAGATCTAGGGGTAGAGCCGACGGCGAGGAGAAGCACAGAGGTCGTCACAAACAGCCAGGAGAGCTAGTTTGCCTCAAGTGGATGAAGGGACAGCGCAAAGGGAAAAATTGCCCAGATGGAAGGCAGCACTTTGGAGACCTGAAGAGATTAGCACTCGTGAGTAAGGATATACTAAAAGGAGCTTTATCAAGCGAAGAAGTCAAAAAGCTAGCAACTCAGTGACAAGATCAAATATTAAGTGTAGCAGAACTTGCAAAAAGACCAAACAAAAAAATGGAGCTGAAAACTATCAAAGAAAGTGCGCATAGATCTTCTTCCCCCTCCCCCCCTTCAACTCTGGGATTCATATCCCTCGACAAGTGCCAAACCATGCAAGCCAGATCATAAAAATCCCCAACCTGTCTCCAAATCCTAGATCCAAGAAGTCCACTCCAGATTATTTCAAGTCACGAAGCTCACCCAACCCTTGAGGCGGTGTGCAATCGTTTCCCACCAGAGCTTTGAACTCGAAATCTTGCAATTTTTGAAAAGTTTTTGACTCTTAAAACCCCAAAACATGTGACGCAAGTGCAAAACGGGCGCCATCAAGCTGAGTATAACGAATGTTCAAAGAAGAAGCCGAAGTATAAGTCCCTAGAATCAGCCGACACAAGAAGCATAAGCACAAATAAGAAGAAGTAAAAGCCTCAAATCCAAAGCAGAACAGGAAGCCGCTGGCTTTTATAAGTACATAAGAAAAATTTCATTTAAGTGCTATGCGCTCTCGTTTCAAGACATGCAGCTAGTTGAAGTTGACACTTCGAAAGTCCGTTTCTCCCAAAATAATATTTCTAAATATTTCATTGCTGGCCCTCGAGCTGGCCAATCAATTTTTACCGCTTTCAACCACATTAATAAACGTCGGGAACTACGTAACGAAGAAATAGACATAACGGGCTATTTTGTAGGAGACCAATTATTCGTTGCCAACAATAGAACAGTCGCCGCCCTCCGTAGTCTACAGTTGCGGAGAGGCTGGAAAAAGCTCGCCATTAGTGTGAAAATCACGGAGTTCAGGGGCAACGAGTGGAGGCATACCACTATCAACGAAGGAAAAACGATTCAGATTCGGGATAAATAGGCAAAGCGCAGTATAATATGCTGCTACTAGCCTTCCCCGAATGGGAGAAGATTGAAGACGCATTCCGCGAAGAAGAGAGGAAAATCGTCCAAGGACATGACTATGTGGAACCTCTCTACTATCGGCCTCGGAATGAAGACGGATCTTGGCAATACGATTTCGAAGATGTTGCCGCCAGTTTCATCCAAAAGCAAGAGCAGACTTGGAAAGAGATTCGTCAGCTTCGATATGGGGAGCTACGCCAAAAATATGCCGCTGACCTCCTCCACATCAGACGAAGCAGATACCTCGAACAAAAAGCAGTCGAAGACGAAATAAAGAAAGCCGAAGACAGTCAAGAAATCCCCACTAGTTCCCCCTCCCCCCCCAACAGCATCTTATCTTCATCAACGATCTCAGCCTCAGTGGCACAAGGAAAGAGACCAGACTACTCGCTTTTCTGCGGCGAGGAATCCAGAGCTCTCAAGAAGTGCAGGCTTGGAGCATCAACAACTACAGTTCAAGAAGAGCTTCCACCTGCTTTCAGAACCGAGGGCGGAGGAACAACCATCAACTACCAACTTTCTCTACTCCCACATCAGTGCAAGCAGACAAGACAGCAGAAAGAACGAAGCAAAAAACTCCTCTTCTCTCTACAAGTGTTGGTAGTGCCAGTTCTTCTCACCATCACCCTATCCCTTCGGGGACCACGGCCGAAAGTAACTTCTTCAATCCGATACTCCAACAAGATGCAGCCCGAGACTATGGATCCGGGCCTAACATCCCGCGCTATTTTGACGCCACTGTCACAAAAACAAAAATCAGCACAGAAGACGAAATCAATCAACAAGCCGCACGCCTTCCCTTGCGTCTTGGTTGATCGCAACTGAAGCACAATCTAGGTTGGAGAGTAAGGAGATCTTCGGAAAAATGCAGCCTCATCTTCAAATCACATATGCGGGAAAGGGTTTCGCTTTCTCCCATAAGCTGCTAAAATCGGCGGTCGAAATAGCTCGCACCTCCGACAGAGGCATTAGCGACAACGCAGACACCATTTTGAAATGGAAGGATAAGCTAGGGGCCGGCATAACCATGGAAGGCGAAGTCGAACCTTCAGGGTTTTGGCGTCTTCTGCCAGAAGACAAGATCGAGGCAAAAAGAGCTCTGGCAGCTGAAGCGGCCAGTCGGGAAAGATTGCCACCCGAAGAAGACCACTGGGCTGAAGAAGAGGACATCGCGAAGCTGTGGGAGCAGAAAGAAAAAATGCAGAAGAAAGGTTTGTGGCTGCCAATGGCTAGCTGTGCGCTCACGAACCTTGGAGGAGCTAAGCCTTTCCCCGTGCACCAGCCTACACAGGAGAATCCAAATAAGACGCGATGCTGTGTAGACTTGAGAGGCCAGAACCGTATGCAAGTAGTCAAAGAAAAAACGCGTCTGCTGGGAGCAAGAGCTGCAATTGAGCTGACAGCCGCATGCGTGTCCACATCAACTAACTGGAAGAAGCGCCCCCTCATGCTGCAGACCAAGCATGACGTGAAGGAAGACGTAGAGATCGAGAAGAGGCTTCGCAGCCTTTTGGAGAAAAACCGATCCCAACTACAAGATGAGTCTCAGACGTTCAATAGGGAACAGCTCAAGCCTCCCGAAGACAAGCCCGGTTTACGATATTCTTCTACGCCGGTGATGGGAAAAATTGATATGGAAGGTTACTACTTCCAACATGGCACAAGGTCCCCTTTTGCAAATTGCATGTTTTACCCGGTGCCGCACAGCGTCCCAGCCTCCGAGTTGCAGTCTGACACTGTCCATCTTGCCTCCAGACCCGACAAGGACGGCAAGCGTCGAAGATGGCAGCTCATAGCTTCGTCGGTTTGTCTGTTCGGAGCACTGTCAAGCGTACACGAGTGCGTGCTCACTAGTGAAGTGCGTCAACTAATTATAGTAGTTCTCTTGGAGGTGATTTGTACGATCTAGATCGACGATTTGCATCCGCAGATGCGGCCAGCTTGCGCTGAAAAACAACTCGAGCTCATTAAGCTATACTTACATCTGGCAGGCTGGTGGCGGTCGCCCTTCGTTCAAGGACGATAGGCGTCACCGTATCCAGAAGTCCATAACCGTTTTGGGACTCGCCTACACGATCATCGACGCCGAGAGTAAATGTTTGGGCATGACGGTAGTAGTTAACAAGGAGAAAGTCCACAAGTGCGCTGCAGACGGCTTCAAACTGCTAGAGCAAATCAATGGAGGTAAGATCGAACTCGGCCTGCTGGTTTCATTTCGCGGCCTCTTTCGCCATTGCGTTTGCGCTATGCTGGACCGTTGTAAGCTGTTCATCGCAAAAGGATTAGACCACTTCGTAGCAGAATTTGAGACGGCCAAGAAGATCATCGTTGAACGACATCGAGCCGCGCACGCCGTAGCCTTAATGCTCTGGGCTCTCGCTCGAATCCGTCCCTTTTGGATGAGCCAGCTGAGGGTGGATAAAGATGTCGCCCACTCTTACTCCGACGCTGCGCTCGAAGACGTAGTGGGACTGAGCGAGAAGCTGAAGCGCGGACAGTTCGAAAATCTGGATGCTCACCAGATGGCGACTGGTGGATACATCTCGGCGTCGACTCCGAAAGGCGCGCGTTTCTTCCGCATCGAGATCAACAAGCTACCTCGGCATTTAGCCGGCACCTATATCCATATCGGAGTGCTAGAAGCCCTGGCTGTCAGCGTCTCTATCTACTTATGGGCGCGCATAGTGTCCAATTACTTCATGATCGGCCACGTGGACAATCTTGGAGACGTCTTCGCCTTAGCAGCCAATAGCACTCGATGCGCTAGAACGCAGCAAGTCTCTTCTGCGATTCGCGAGAAAATGCAGGATCACGCTATAGGTATAGACTTCTACTTTACATGGATTTGCAGCGACAGAAACTGTAGCGATCCCCTAACGAGAAAGAAAAGGTTCGAAGTATTCAAGTCATTCTTCGCCGACGCCGTTGAGGATCGCCTGTCGCCTCAAGTGATCGAAGATAGCGCCCATCTCTGGGGCCGTGAACTAACTATATCTGCCCATAGCTAGGGCCTAAGCCAACAACAAAGCGTGGCTTCATTCTTCCCCTTTGCATACAACTTATATCATCCTCCAACATTCAAAAGGTAGAAAGAGATAACATTGTTAACCTCCTCGGCTTGTCTGAAAGCACGAACTTGATACATAAGGGCACCCCCCTCAATACCAAACAGAAAGTGCTCGGATCAGTTAGGCCCAGTAGTTTACAAGCCAGAAGAAAGAAGAAGTCAAGGCCAAACTGGTCAGCACTTTTGGGCTAGAGCAAAACAAGACGTCTAGATCAGAAATTAGCTCTACTAGTCTATTGTTTGTTCAAGTTTTAAGATCCACTGCAACTTAGGTGGTTAACAAATGAAAATTGACAATAGGCGAACGCGACGATGGTGGAGGAAGTGTTCGCCGATGAGAGAGATCAAGTCGAGAGATTAATGCGAATTATCGTGGCTGGTGTAGGTTTGGGATAATTCGACTTAACATGGTCCCTATTTATCTCCTCATTGCATCCTTCGCAGCATTATGACGAGCGGTCATTCATCCTGATCCAAAAAGTTTACCTAGATCGACTCACGGGGGTCACCTTGATTCGTTGTGCACCTTGATGAAGACGCCTCCAAGAATCATGTGGAGCAGTTTCGTTTTTTTCTAAAGAAGTTTAGCTTCTGGGAAGATGCTTCGAGTGGAAGAACTTTGCTTCAGAGCTGCAGGCGCAGTCGTCGTTTCTTCGCATTTCAGAGTTTAGATTATGTTGGTCAAGGTCATAGCCATGAAATGTCACAAAGATCAGACGCATGAAGATCATCAAAATGACCAAGATCGCCAGGCGAACAAGGTGCCCACCGGCCCCATTTTCAACGCGTTGGCCTTAGTTGGCGCGGGTGTCGGCGGTTTCTCCCTTCTCTCTCTCGTTTGTCGTTTCAAGTCTCCCAACACAGTCAAGGACAAAGAACAACCGGAAAGATCTCAGAGATAACTCACAGACCTGAATGCATATGGTTCCAGAATCAATGATCAACAGGCAAAGGACCTGCAACGTATTCAGATAGCAGAAACAACGGATGCTCATAGCTGTAATCAGGTCCATAACGTTTTGCCAGTTCTGACCAGTTCAAAGAACATATGGATGATCGTATGAATCAACGATGATAGCATAGGCGTTCCCAATATGAAGCTTTCCCCATGCGTCATGATATCCCAATGAAGAAGCTGAGACTTCCTCCTTGCAACCCCAATGGATATCCACAGGGATCAAAGCAGCCAGAGACCATTAGTCTCAGGCTGTAAGTGCAATCTGTATCAAACTCAAGAGTTTCTCACCGAGAAACTACACGCGACTTAACAGTCTGCGTTCGAATGGTCCAACAGATTACCACTCTGCTTGCCACCTTTTACTACTGGTCTCTGGGCGGCAGGATGCGCGCGACCGGACTAAGCGTCGAGTGGTTCTTGGGGCTCGCCTACTTGCTCACCTGGCTTGCAGGCACAATGTACGCAAGTGCGGCCTACTTTATCCAGCGCGAAATCATGCCGGGGCAGGAGGTAAGTTTTCTTTTTCGTAGTACAACTAGGTCTCCGTGGTGAATTATATTATATCGTTGGGGCGAGCCCTTCATCAACGATAAACGCGAATAGTGTCGTAAGTGCAGGTCAGCTGAGGCTTTTGGAACAATTAGTCATCATGCATAGTGATTCTCTCTGCTGTAATGCCCACAGGCGAAGTTTTTGGAACAATTAGTCATCATGCAAACTGTTGCGGGCATCCTGTGCAAAAGCGGCGTTGGTACCCTACTTGACGGACCTCTGGATCTCGACTCACTTGTGCGCAGAAGGTCTCTCGGCTCCCGGTTCCTCGGAGTCCATTGTGGTGCACTGTTTCTCGGCATTGCTCCTGGGAGTCTTGTCATCGCGTCGTACGTTTTTTTCGTCGTTATTTTTCGTTCCTTGCTGACTATAAATATAGTGAATGAAGAAAAAGAAATATGAGTATACAGTTATTGCGTTACTCTACCATTCTTGTTTTTATTTGTCTTCCTCGAGTTCTATCTTCATATAGGCGACGAAAGCCAAGGATGTGAAGATACATAGTTATAGTCCTGGTGAGCTGGTCAAAAACAAATCTCAGGACCCAGAGCGCGGTTGTGTTTCTGGCGGGAGTGTTTTTGGTCGAGTTCGGTCTTTCGTGCGCCTGGCCTGTATTCACAAGAGCAGTTGCCGAGTACAGCGAAATTCGCAAGCAAGCGAGCCACCTACCAGGCATTGGTAATTAGTGCGAGGGATGACTTCACTGGCTCCTTTTTTAGGTGTCGCGAGGACTATGCTAGATTGTTAGATCGAACAGGAAAACCTCACATATTTAACTATATCTATATATAATGATCTCCATAGCCATTCAGGGCAGGGGCAAACGCCGGAAGAAGAAAACAAAGCGACACGGCTCTTTTGGGTGCTTGGTGTGGCAAGCAGATGTGGGGCAACCCTCGCAGGGATCTTTTGCGCAGCACTTGCGGATTGTTTTTCTCGGCGGCTATGGCTTGCTCGCTCCGAAATCCGTGAAGCGGGGACCAGTAATCAGGCACCCCCGCATCTCTGGCGGGCGACCCTCGTCGCTGCCGCCATTGTAGCAGTGCTTGCTGGGGCCTTCTCGTTTTCTTTCGTATCGGCGGTCCGGTCGTCTAAAATGTATCGCGAACTGCGAGAGCAGCTTGATTCGCTTGGAGAGCGCGCTCGGGATGGAAGCTCGGCTTCGCCGGTGCCACAGAGCACGGAGGGCGCTCGAGCTACGTCGTCCCAGATGCCCCTGCTAGATCACATCGACGTGTGTGAGCCCTCGTCGCGGTCGGCCACGTGCGGGTCACGTGCAGAGAATCTCGGAGCAGGCTTTCCCCCCACAGCGCCAACACCAGAAGCAACTGCGGATAGAGCTGCGCCCTCTGGTGCTTGCACTTTATTGGCTGAGGCGAGCACGTTTTTCAAAGCCTCCGTTGCAGCAGGTGAACAAGGACCTTCGGGAAGTGGAAACGAAATAGCAGTGGGGCAGCACGATAGCAAGCCGTACAGAAGCAAGGTGAAGAAACTTGCTCGGGACTGGAAGGTATGGCGCGTAGCCGCGTCCGTGACGCTTCTCACTTGCGTAAAGATGTATTGCCAGGGCATGCTTCTTCCGGCATACCTCGACAACCAGAGAGGCAGCGGCGCGGCCGTAGGCGCGAAGCCGCAAACGACCAGGACGAGCAGCTCGTCCATTACAACTAGTGCAAGCACAGCATTCTTCCTGTCTTCTGTCTTTACCTTTGGAGTCACCCTCGGCGTGCTTGTGGGTGGATGGTGTTTTTCCAACTCCTCGGCAGCGGGGCAGGTGCGCCTGCTGCGCTACACCAGTATCTTTTCCACCATGGCGCTCCTTTTGCTGGTATTGCATGCCAAAGTTTTCCCGCACCCGAAAACACTTGACCTTTCCGAGGTCACGCTGCGCGAAGACTTGGGCATAGACAAGTCCCAGCAGGACAACCAACAAAAGGGGAACGCAGTTGCCGACTCTTCGACCGGAGCGCCAGCTTCGGTGGAGGTGGAATCTTCATCTACGTCGTCGGCCACCCCGATCCCCGTGCTCGAGGACTCTCCCCTGAGCCATCTCGTCCACAATCAAGTCAGGGGTGATGAGTCATCATCAAGAGCAGAGGCATATAACAAGGATGGGAGGACCGAGGGGCCATCTCTGTCGCTGGCTGGAAACGGCGGAGTTCACGATCATAGAGATGGAACACTACTAGAAAAAGTAGGCATGGTCGGCAGCGATGTGCATGCGCCAGGAGACGCACATCGTCCCGGAAGCCACACTTTTGCAGAGGCAGAGCGTCCCAGCGAAGACCCGACGCTCGAGCACGGAGAACCCCTGTCACGGCGATTTCCTGCGCTCGAGCACTATTCTTCGGCCTCAGAGAGCAAGCAGCTCATCATTGCTGCTTCTGCGAGCTTCTGCTTCGTTTGCGCAGGCGTGGGTTTGGGACTAGCATTTTACCAGCCGCCAGGAATATTCGCGGTGCAGTACGGTAGGGATGCGTCATCAACGCTCTCTGCATTTACAGATGGAGTCGCGATGTTGGGCACCTTGTTTCTGACACCCTGTTGCGCGGCCGTACAGAGCCGGCTCGGTTTTGTCGCGTTGTTTGGGCTGCTCGCCAGTCTCCTCTCGGTCGGGACGCTGCTCTCTGTGCAGTATTACAGAGACCTGGCAGAACAAGTCGTAGTGGATGGCGCAACAGATGAGAAAGTGTCGGAAGCTGGCCACGAACACGATGCTGCCCTAATTCAACGAGAACCTAACGCAACTGGAACCGCGCGGCTGTAAGTCGTCGGGCATTTGTTTTTATCGCGGGTGTGTGACAGGCTTGGCGTAACGCCTGACAACAAACCTAGCTTGCAGTAGACCCATCGCCTGCTCGGCGAAAGAGGGGCACTTGGCTGACACTAACTACCTTACGCTCCCGCCCGCGCGTAAAGCTGAAGCTTTTCAGGGTTAGTCTTACCCTTAGCCCGTGCCTAGCTCTATCGCGTGTCAGTTTTCTAAGCCAGAAAGTGTAGACACCATGCGCCAGCATTCGCGTGGTTCTGAATCTTGTCCAATGCTTGGCTCGTACGTAGTACGACTTAAGATGGGAGTCACGAATGAGCGAGGGTTTGCTTTACGATCCACGTTTGAAGCCCATCAAGTAAAAAGAAAAGTTATGGCACCATCGTGCCTTTCTCGTGCTCTCGTGTTCCATTTCCAATATTGTCTGGTGCTACTCTATCATGAAGTAGTTGTTCTGCTACTACATTTCAAGAATTGACGTTTTCCACACAAGGTCGAAGTACTTTGATGCGAATATGAAATGAGAAGAAAGATCCTTTGTTTTTCGTGAAAAAGAGAAGAGAAAGATCTGTTTTTGCCCATGAGTCGAACCTTGTTCATCTGGAATGTATTAAGGACGAGTCCGTGGTGATTGGATAAAGCTTCGTTCATAGTGAAAATTTGCTGTAGGAAAGGCAAAAATCGAAACAATATTTTTCGAAGATCCTAAATCGAGAATGGCAAAGTACGCTTTCTTCTAAAATGATCTACGCCGCATGCCCATCTTTTCCTTTTTTCAAGATCTTTGTACTAGCAGAGTTTAGTCGATCCTTTGTGCCCCTCTTGCATTCGATTTGTCCCTGATCTTGATTTTGCACCTTTGATCATTAGTCACACTGGCGAAATACCGAGAAAGAAAAGAGACAAAGTTCATTATCCTAAAAGAATTCGATGAAGCAAAGTCTCTCTTCAGAAGCGCCGTCTCTCTTCAACTGCAACTGAAAGAGGTACATGATAGGGAGATTCTTTAGCCTATCGATCAGCAGAAAAGTTATCATCTTCCACAACCAAAACTAAGTAGGCTTCTTTTATGATCCATCTGCATTTTCTGCCCACCAGGCGGGGAAATAGGGGATTTTTTTTGTAATTCATCGTTGACCGTACGAACGTGTAGTTGCATTCTGGTATGAATTGTTGAAATCGTTTTCTTATATCTTGCTCAGCAATAGCTGATGCTAATTAAAGACAGAGGGCAAAGGCATAGGTGTTTTCAAGTAGTCAGAGCTTGATAAATCATAGTTGCAGAACTCACTGAAGACGACCGGGAAGATTCATTTAGTGGCAGAACTTCCGCCAGTTTATTTGCATTTGCATGTTGCTTCTTTACCTTTACTTATACATAGCGTAACTTTTTACAATCATGATATCCAAACATATCACGAGGTCAGGGCAGCACCCTATCCTACTTATTCTAATTTAAGATAACTCAACAAAAGTTGAAGGACAAAATTGTTTTCGAATTCACTCTTCTACTTCTAGAAGTAACAAAACGAGGATGACAATCGCACTCGCAGCGCCTCAAGCAGACTTAGAGTCTGTGCTTCTTGCGATCGGCGGCGAGGAGAAGACTCGTAGTCAGCGCAAGAAGGAAAAGCTGAGACTCAAAAAGCACATGGAGCAGCAAGAGCTACGTATGCAGAGACAGGGGACCACAAGGACGATGGAGACACCAGCTACGGATTCATCAAGTACCTCAACTACCACAGCGATTGTTTCAGCGCCATCCGCGCCATCGACGAAATCGACTTCCGCTTGTTCAACATCTAGTAGTAGTACTGCAACTTCTACTGGTCGTGCCTTTAAGATGAATAATACTGGTGTAAACATGAGCATGAACAACAAGATTGGAGGAAACGCCTGCACGAAAATGGCACGGGCTCCAAGGACCAGCATTACAGAGGAGGACTTGACTTCTTTGATACCGGATTTGAAGGCGCAAAAATCCCAAAGAACTAGAGAATGTTGTGGCCGATCAAGTCGGTACTTCCACGTCGACGATGAGGAGACGCGGTCACCTTCCTCATCTTCCTCAACAACCTGTGCTTCATCTGGCGGAAAGAAGGAAGGGATTTTTCTCAGTGCAAGACGAGACGACCTGAGCACTGGTTCTCCGGCAACATCTTCATCAGCTTCTTCCTGTAAAACGACATCAAGTTGTAGTAGCTCGTCCTCAACAACAATATTAAATAAAGTTACAATAACAGGGACCACTACTTCCTCTTCTTCCTCCAGCTCTGCAATCAGACCCCGCCCTACAGCGATACACAGCGACTTTCACGACCAAGTGTCTCTCCTCGAGCTAGCAGAGATCCCCAGGGCAACTCTAGCATCAAGACAAGCCTCCGTTATAGACCCAGAAAAAGACCTTCTAGACGAGCTGCGATCTTCTCCCCATGGTGCAATGGCGGCAACTAGCGTAGTCTTTCGGAAATTTGAAGGCGCAGTGAAACCCACCGAACTCGTGGAGCAGGTATCATCTAAGTGTGAGAAACTAGAAATACAATGCACTACTTCGTATTTTTCCCTTCACAACTATAGTGCACTAGTTCTTCTTCATCTTGTTACTACAACTTGTATCTAAGGCTAAACTGTGACGAGGGAGATGAAACTCTACTCCTACCCTACTGTGGTACAGGAGCCTCTAGTTGTACTAGGAGTGCCAGTTATTCTGAATGTAGTTTCGCATTTGTTTTTTAAACATTGCGCAGATTTGGGAAGCTGAATTGCAACGACGGGCTTGTGTTGCGCGGGGAGCGAGTGAGGAAGAGGGGATATCGCTACCACTTCTACCATCGCAGGCGACGACACAGGACGCAGCCTCAAAAACACCGAAGGGAGCATCAACACCAGGCGGAACTAAGTCAACGAAGAAAAAAGCAAAAGAGATCACGGTACAAAAATGAAGAAATCAATTAAGTGTTCCTTCTACTTCTTGTGTCCGTCGATGATCCTTCCTCAGCACACTGACGTTCTTGAAATTGAGATAAGCTTAAGTAAAAGTAATCTACTAGTATCCATCAACCGCATCATTTTCTTGACAACATTTTCATTTTTCGTGACATATTGTTACGACACCAAAACCAAATACAGGTAACTTTTCATTCAGAGGTGAGAGCGAACGTCCCACAGGCAACACCAGAGATGCAGAAGTTAGTAGAACAAGCTAAGGACTTGTTCGCTGAAGAATTTGAGGAGGAGTTTGCTTCTCAAGTATCAAAAAAAGGCGGCTACAGACTCACGCTGATGGCAGATGAAGCGGGTAATATTTTTCTACTTGCTGTTCAGTTGCTTCGTGTCAGAGATCTTGATCAATCTCACTACAGCGTAGCACTGGTGTGATGGTTTAGACGATCACAAGAGCTACATATTCGATCATGCTTTCTGACGAAATTAAGCATAGGCAACAACATATTATTTGCTATGATTCATTGCTCCTTCATCTCCCCACTTAATTGCTAGACGATGCATTTCCCCTTTTCCGTTCCAGGTGACCTATGCAGCTTTATTATGTACAAGACGAACCCCAGCGAGAAGTGCTTGTCTATCGCGCACGTGGCGGTCCCTTCTACCAAGAGGCGACTGGGCTATGGCCGACGAATCATGAGGTGGCTGATTCAATATGCGAAGAAACAGCCTCGTTCACAGATTGCATTTTTAGCCCTCTCCTCTATGCCAGGGAGCATTAAATTCCACCAGAGTCTGGGTTTCAAGAAGAGCGGCAACAAGTTGACGAAGAAAGAAGATGAACCAGTGAAGGAAAAAGATATTGAATACGCAGAAGGACAAGTCTACATGACTTATCCAATCAAAGGAGGGAAGCGCTAAAAACAACACGAGGATGAGCCCCTACACATCGATGATAATGATCTTCAACGTCGACCTCGCCGCCACCTCGCAATTACTCATATTAAACTTCCTATTCCTAGGAACTGCCCTAAGCCACCCCTACGACACTTCAACATCTTTCCCCTAACAGCCATTCTTACCCCCGCATCTTCGTTCTTTTTTTGAGCAGAGCTTCTACATTCATTTCGGTGTTTTTTCTAGTACATTTCGATATGAGATCACTATCAGCATGTGTGGTTTTCTTCGCGTACATTTTGATGTAGCGCACCTTGTAAGTTTTCCTTGTCGGGGGACGAGATCAACTACAATCGATCCCTCCTTTCATCTTCCACCATTTTGAAGGTGATTGCTTACTTCTCGTAGGCTAGTAAGAGCGTTCTCTTCCAGTCAGGGGCGCGCATGTAGTTGTTACTGTACAGAACTAGTACCAGCATGAATAGCTTTTTTTACTCAATACAGTCTACCTTTTGTCCCCGAACTCCCTCTTGCTGCGAAGGATTTTCAATGATAGCATTGAGGATCCATTCTTCTTGTTTGGTACATTACTATCATCATGATTTTAGGGTGGACGAGAAGAAAGCCGTCGATGCCTTCCTTGTCGAGGAAGTATCACGTACACGTAGTAACAGGACATTGAAGTTTTCATCTATCTTCTATTGTACAAGGTCGAGGCTGCAAAACACTTCTATCATAGAAAATTCCAGGATGTCAAGGTCGTCGACGACAAATACGAACGTGTAAAGATTGAAGAGTCTCGTCGGTTTTCAACTACTAACGCGGGACTCCGCACTGCAGAATAAGTAGTTCGGAACGAGAACTCCAGATATGGCTTACGCCATGTCAAACCGGGCGGGGCTAAGAGAGCCATGTCAAACCGGACGGGGCTAAGAGAAAATGTTAGTGTACACCATTTTCCCTAGTCTAGAAGATTAGAGACCATCTTCATCCTGAAACCATTACTGTGAGTCGTCGTAGCAGAGCTTGATTTGGTGCTGTTCCAACACGTACCTTTTGCCGTCTTCACAGCATCTTTCTCCATTCCGATTTCTCAACAGCATATGCAACAACCACATGAAAGCCATGAGGGCGAGCATGTACTTACCTCCTGCTGTTCATTCTTCGTTATACTTATTATTTGAAAATGTTCATTGTTCCTCCTGCTTGACTTCCTGTTGTCGCCTCCAAGAAGAAGAGCGGTTGGAAATGGTCTCTGAGTCGCCCTGCCCTACTCGTTATACTGATTTTCAATCCCATGGGCCATTGCAGTGACTGCATCAAGTTCAGTCACCTGAAGCGAGGAGTATATATAAGAGACGATCGCTGAACGGTTGAGATGGTGAGGTTTTTTAGGAGTTGAGCGAGGGAAACAACTACACCTTCTTTAGTACTAGCACGACAAGAGCGGGCTTTGTGAATATTAAGCAGCAACGAATACACCAGCTTCATTCAGGAATATGTTGTATTGAAAACACGAAGACTGAAAGGGGTGCTATGATGGCCTTTTAATGTATAAATATGTATGAAACTGAAAGAATTCGTGGATAATAGATTGTTTCATGATTGTGGTGGTACTAGTTCTAGCATATTTTCCATACGATACGGCTCAGAACCAGCACAGAAGTGAGTAGAGGTAAAGCAACACTCTTCAGCCTTCTGCACAGTCGAGTAAAATAATTTTCGTAATTTTTCTATCTTGTACCTGACAGACTGACATCTGAATTTACGTACTCGAAACATGTACCATGGATGACCAAGAATGGCAAACCTGAAAATGTTTTTGTCTCAGCAGCAACAGCATTACTTATTCTCATGTACACCTAGAATTGTACATATATATTTTTCATCATTTTCACGACCACAAGGCCCGAGAAAACTGAAGAAGTAAAGCAGCGACATGGCAATATTATTGTAACTTAGGGGGCACTCCTAGTAGAAGGGTTATCTACTTGTATTACAAATCTCCAAAGTTTTTGTCTCACCTCACACTATATTGAGAACAATTAAGGAAGTAAAAGGTGAAGACATCCCACTTGGGGCTGTATCGCTGGGGGCGATTTCAATGCGCAAATGGTTGGTCGTTTCGTTGGGACCACTTGATTTGCATGCTTTTATTTCGTCATGTTGAAAGAAAGTAGCGAGGTCTAGTTTCGAACGCGGTTCAGTCTTCATTTTATCTATGTGCATCATCCTCGCTGCGGGTGTGGCGCATGTGCATCTATAATTACGTTCAAGGATGTATCTGATGGCAAGAGATATGTTATTCGCCACTCTTGCTGCTCTTAGTCCTCCTTTCCCCTCAGGACGAAGCCGCCCTCGATCGGCGACAGTTCTCCTTTCTTCCAGTGTGAAGAGCCTATCTCCGTCTCTACAGTTTCTTGCTGCAAGAAATATAAAGTTGTTGTAGTTTCTGTATTTTTTTTCCCCAAACAGCTACTGCTCAGTGACACCACAATACGGGAAAATTTAGGGTCTTACTCATCGATTTGTACCACGACCACTTCAAAGTCGCGCCTTGATATTTCGTCGATGTGTACTACAACTGCTACTCTCTCCGGCTCATTCATTGTTACTGCATCCATTTCCTGTACTTCATTCTCTGTCATTGTATAAATGTTCAAGGCGTATTTTTATCAACTACAGTTGACTGTTCTTGCATTCGTACTACAAAGAACAGGGCGGGATGATAAGTCACATCGATCTTGAAGAGGATTTTGAACAGCTCAGCCAGGCATGCCTTTTTCCATTGGGTTTATCCTGCTATAATCAAAGGTGTGTAGAAATACAGAAGCACAATCAACATCAGGACCAGTTGGTACACGAAAACGTTTGCCGAATATTTGGAGACAAAGGGAGAGCATGCGTTGCTCCTGGAGGATGGTCAACATCACGGGGCATGGAACCAGGTCGGTCCGTAATTTCACCGAGGAAGTTGTAGAGTAGATCTTCAGTCGTGCTCGTGAGGAAGTCGTCATCTGTCTGTTTTCTGCCGTGCGGTCTTGCCAGGCTGGACGAGAAGATGCTGTGCCAATTCTGTGAAGATGAGGAAGATGGACCTTCTCGTGGTGCGTAGAGAGTGGCCTGACGTGGAATGACATCGGTCGTGGATTTTGACATGCTTATCCCTTCCACTTTCTCCCTATCTACTTCCACCTGCCTCCGCGAGCTAGAAATCGTTTTGTGAAAAATCTCGTTCTTCAAACTTTGTCTGGCAGTAGATGACACCGTTTGTAAAGAAATGCTTCATGTTGATTTCGACTATCAGACAACTATTCACGACTCCTGTAAGTACAGAATGAAAGACGGCTATAACAACTACTTATTCGGATTTTGTAGGCTCCTAACAAGTAGTTCAATGTGATGATTGCGCCGTCCATGCGTCATCGTAGATTAATTTTTCATCTTGCTTGGTGCTGGTGGTGCAGTTCGCAAACAACAGGCTTAGTCGAAAGAGCGGCTGATCAACTAGTACTTCCGTGACCACAGGTAGTATCCCATTCGCTGTACGAATTGACTGTGAAGAACCAGAGTACACGGAGGGCTGCATCAAGTAGGAACGAGAAGCTTTTCAGTTAGGAAGAAAGGGCTATGGGAAGCTAATCGCATCATCTGAGGTCGGATGAGACTACGGGGCGACCAGTTGATGCACTGTGGTCGCCCTTGGTTTTATGGCGTAGAAGTCAGCAACTAGAACTGCATTTTCCTTCAAATAACAGTGGTCCGTCACCACGCAGTCGGACAACCGTCATGAGGCCGCTCAGGCGCCACTAGTACTACTCGCTTCAGTGCCAATAAGATCACATATAAAGTAGAACGATTGACGGTGGACCATCTTCTTCTTCATCAAGCGGCGACATACCACATAGTGATGGCATTACTCCTATCCTCATCGTTACCAAAGGCTGCCACTGCTGCAGCTGAACAACTACTACAGCACAAGCAAAAGCACGGGAAGGTTACAACATCGTAACATAAGGCGAGCCAGGTGGACACTTCTTGCGTTGGAGTTCTTCCCCTACGCGTAGAACTAGAAATCAAACAGGATGCCAGTGTGGAATACAGAACCGCTAATGCGGACAGATGGCTTTCGCAGGGCTCGATCAGCACCCACTTCCAGCACAGCACTCGTCCAGAAATTCAGCAAAACTTACTCAGATAGGTACTTCTAAGCAACATAGTTGTTTCATGAGGAAGATGATGAACTTCATGATGAAGTAGTAAGTAATATGCCTTGCGTCGAGTTAGAGCTGACAGATAGAACTTGGCGTCGAAAGTCTACACATTAATTCTTCTGATTCTAAATCTAACTCTTGTTCTCCTTCTCTCCATCTCCCTCTCCTAGGTTTCGACCAGTAACGTATGCACCGCCGACTTATTCATTGCGAAAACGCGTAGTGTTTGGGTCTATGCCAGCTCTCTCGGATGGAGATAAGTACGAAATTCGAAGGAAAAGTATGGTATTTAGCTTTGCTTGTGGTCATGAACTAAGTCCCTTCATCCAACATAAGACTCAGCTTAATAATACTAGTCTCCTTTCTAAGAGAAAGAGCGCTGCAGACCGCACTTTCAGAAAGCACGTGAGGAATTGGAGCGTTAGGGAGACGGTAAAGTGGATGCGAGGTGCCTTGGAGAGGCGAGGACGAGCAGACTTAGTACTACGAATCATTTTATTTCAGAATACGAGTTAGAGAGCTAGACAAAACATAGTTGAAGTCTATCATCATGTTTTCTTATTCCGTCATTTGCATATCCAAAATTTCGTTCCGGATTATTTTCTGTTTCGTATAGATTTCGTGTCTTACACTTGCGTCTTTCTGTTCCCATAGATTTAGGACCATATTTTTTATGGGATGAGTACTCTCTCGACCCGTCTTGGAACACTGCAAGATCTATGGGCCGATCGAACGCTTTCCTTACTTGATATACATACTTTGATGATTAATGCTTGATTATTTGGATCTATTAGCTTTCACCTGTACATTGACGCGTTATTTACGGCATAGAGAAAGAACATCCGCCGGATCTTGAAAGTAGGAATTGACTGATTGCCCATGCAGGTTCTGATCAGTTCAATTGCTCTTTCTGATCGTTTTTTCTGTGAGTTATTATTTTCTCGTGGCGCTTCAGATAGAACGAAATGAATGAAAAAGTTTGCCGGTAGAATTCTCTATCTCTAAGCATTGTCTATTTGCTCATGGTGCTTGTGAAGATCGAATGAAATGCAAATGCATGGATGAAAAAAGTTTGCCTTTGGTCATCTTGATTTTCGCTCTCCTCTTGATAATGTCGAAGTCTCTAATCAGCGACGAAGTGGACGGTAAGGAAGTCGAAGGCAAAGAGATATTAGGGTGGAGCAGGTAGTCAATGTCAAGTCCTCCAAAAACTACGGAAATAATTTTCAGCTACAATAACTAGTACTTTGAAGTAGTTCGTTGACTTTTGCTTGTTCACTCAAATTTGCAGCTACAACCTTTGAATGACAAGTACTGGAACAACTAGCGAACGACATCGATCCACAATCTATCACAAGCTGCTGCTTAATATTTTCAAGATGTTGTCACCAAAAGCAAAATCAAACTTTAGGGAAGTATTTCGGGATGATATTTGCAAGGGTGATGCTGATCTTGGCTGCTCACTATGGGATGAGTTGCGGTGTTTAATCGAAGAGTAACTCGCGACAACGGCCTATAACGATCTGTCACACGCAGTCAACTTTACAAAGTACTACTTTGCTTGTGAGTTGGATTTTGCGTCAAGACCTCCTGCAACAAGAACAAGATAACCAATGCCCATACGCTGCGCTGGTTTGTTAGGTTATTCACTTCCCACCTCCTCGTCCTTTTGCAACATCTCAACTACAGTATCCAAGAAGCCATGAACAGCTGCTACACTGGTGTCCCAAGAATCCCCCTCATTAAGAGTATATTCAACGAAAACTTAATCAACAAAAACATTAGATACACTGCCCCAGTGTGGTCGTGCAGAAAAGCGTTGAAGACTCTAGCGAGCAAGACACAACCACCAGGCCCAGGCCAGTACAAGCAACCGACTACGATAGGAATGTCAACGAGCGGCCGTGGGCATCCGACAATAAAGCAGGAAGCTAGATTCGTAGTCTTAGACATTGTTGATCCATGATCTTGGAATAGAAAAGAGTCTTTCCTCCGACTCCTGCGAAGATTTACCAGACATTCTGACTCCCGTCTGCTCGGTTTTTGATGGTGAGTATTGCTCTAATAATTATAACGTCTTGTGGGGGAGTTCTGCTGATGCTTCAATCACACTCTGTCTTCACCTCCACCACACGACACTAGGCTATGCCACAAGGGGGACGAGGAGTCAAGCCGCTGAAGACTCCAGGGCCTGGTGCACATTTCACCCCTGTTGAGAAAGATCACAGACTAGTTTGGGGAGCAAGATGGAGCTTCCCTGGAAGAGGAGACTGTATCTATTTTTTACTTTCGAGCACGACGAGGAACATCATGTTTTACCGCAAATCATGATGAGTGTGACGTGGATGAAGTTGAAGTCAACAAGAATTTTTACTGGCACTAATGAAATCTTCATCTACAATAGAAAATACAGCTGGCCTAGTAAAGGAGGGCGGACCACTCGGTGCCTACGACGTGGACAAACTAGCACGCACAGGGCCATTGACTGCGCCTTCGTGGACCGTGAAGAGTCGAATACCAGTGAAAGAAGGATTCCAATTATGTCTATTCCACGTAGTGATCTGCTAGTAGGTTGAATGCAAAAAAGAACTACTTTTCTTGTTCTCGTCATCGACATCTACAACCACTTCTAGAAACACAAACTGAAGATTTCCGAATACTTGCGCCTAGTGCGGCTGCAGGAGCGCTTTATACCGTTTTATATCATCCCAGTACTCGTCAAGCTAGCAATGATTGAGACGTATGGATTTTGCTCCTCACTGTGATGATAGAGATAGATGCCCCCTCTAACCCCCTCTCCTGGGCCTGCGGCTTACGATCAAAGCGGGCATAAGAAAAAGCAGCTAGGCGAATATGTGTATTGGCCCACACAAGGAGAGGAGTGCAGTCGCAACATCACACGTAAGCCAGCCTGGAGCTTCAGAACAGCATGGAGGGCACAATAAGTAGAAAGAAGCACGACCATGATCTACATAGAGGTCTAGGTCTAGGACTCTAGACTAAGAGACTGTAAGTAGCGGTATTAAAAGAGCCCTAAGAACACAGGATCGCAACTATTATGTTTATTTCGTCTAACTTGGCAGCAGAAGTTTATCACTCTTCACTATTATAATATACCTATAAAGTCTACATCTTCTTAACCAAAGCATTGGCAAGTCGTTCTTCTTAACATAACAAGCATTGGTCTCCCAGTTGGCTTAATTGTATTTGACGCATCTTCCTGCATTTGTAGTTCTCCAACGCCATAATATGCTAAAATCGCTTCAACATAAAAAAAGATGAACTTCACACATAAAATAATGCCAGTATGATCACATCAACAAAGGAACTCTCCAGATATATTCAGCCTACTACAGGAAAAATTGTTACAAACCTGCTCAAGGAAAATGAACATGTTCATGATGATGTATGATTAGGACTAGCAAACACTCCCTCAAAAACTTCAACACAGCCTGCATAGAAAATATTTCATCAGCATTCACGATACACATACTTCAATATTTCTAAGGCCTGCATCGAGATCCATAGCTACCATGCTTTCACATTGGAAGACTCCAACACCCGTGTCCCCGACAAAGATCGCCGTGGTCCTCTATTCTGGTGTATGAAGCCTCTACTTGTACGACTAAAATGAGTGGTCTGCTGAAGGTTTCCCGACTTAATTCGGTGCAGAGTTCCACGAATTCGAATCGGTCTCTCACGATGCGTTGGATGTGTATTGAGTGAGTGAAGAGATGGGCGCTTAGGTACTTCTACTCAGTTGTAGGTGCTTGTTAGACAAGCCCACGCAGATGCACAGAGACAGACTGACTGACCGAATCCGTCGAGGGAAGCAAGATAGTGAGAAACTGGAGTTCTTTGAGCAGCAGTGGACTGCCTTGAGAAAAAAGAGAAAAGCCTCTAGTATACATTACTGCTTATTAGTTTGCCTCGCAGTGTGAACGTTTCCCTAGACCTTTTCTATTTGCAATTTAACTTCTCCCATTCTTTGACCACGAGCCTCTGTCCGCGTTTTAGCCATTTCTTATTCTTCGTCTCTTGACGGCTAGATTTCCCGCGATTGACCTTCACCCCGCTCATGATACTATAAGCATTAGCACCAAGCCCGGGTTATACTTATACAAACGGCATCTTCATTCCCATCGTATAAAAGAGCCTTCAAGTTTTGCTATTTTTTTCATCATCTTCGTTATCCTCGATTATCCTACTTGTAAAAAAGCCGTCCGCTTCTATGAATTAACACTCGTCAACTACCAGCCAGCAGCACTAGCACTAGCTTAGATTTTGAATCATTGAGAAAGTAGTAGAAGATAGTGCTGAAGGAGGACAAGAATGGCCGTCGAATTCGACGATCATGATGACGAGGACGCACCCCAACAGGCACCAGGAGGGAATAAGAAAGACCCGACGCAGGCAACAAAAAGTATAGTTTGATGTAATTGGCATATGAAATGAATAGAGAGCCTCGAAATCGAGTACTATAGTCGTCAAATGTACCATGTAGTCGCGCTGTTGAGAACAAAGTAGACGCAAGATGATGAAGGTGGCCGTGACGTGAATCATGCTAGAGCCAGAAAAACTTTGACGCGGTGGCTTCGATTCAATCGAATTGCCAGATGAAAAAAATGATGTGCGGACTGTCCGCTACTGCCTTATCGCGCGCCCATCATTCAAAGACACCATCATGAAAATCCACCTCCGCCAGCCCTGATCGGCACTGCTCGAACCAAGCTCGACGCGACACGTGTGCAGCTGGATGCCAACAGCGAAAAAGTGCAACTCCTGAAGAGCGAATTCAAGACTCTGAAGAGACAAAACGCCCATTTGACCAAGCAGCAACAGGGGAGTCTACAGGAACTGGAGAGTGGACTTGGAAAATGGTGATTTTTCTAAGTACCTCGCTCTACCTCCTATTTCTGATTATGCACTACGACTTCCCTCCGTCTTCGCCTTCCTGTTTCTGGTTCTGTGCCACGACTACCCGCTAAAAACGGATAGGCTGCAAAGCCAAAGGAGATGAGCATCAACGCAGGGTGCTTGGATTGCTTGGTCGGTGCAACAGGTGATACAGGGTGTTCATCCCGATGAGGCGTCCGAGATGATCCTGCGCGTCCTGCTGTGACACAGTTCCTCTATTGACGCAGCATAATTTATTATTTGCCGGAATTATGCTAGCAGTTGCGGAGTTTCCGAACGCAGAAACCCTTCTACAACACCTTTCGGACATCAAAGAAGAAGAAAAACCCCTGCCCCGCAGAGAATATATCTTGATACAAGCAGCTGGATAATGTCGAATACGAGCAACGGTATACGCATACACCAACGCCCACTGTTAATTCGTACTATATATGACTCAGGGCCGCACGGCCCCCCCTCCCCCCCCCTGTGGTCTGGTCTGTGGTGGCGCGCCCGCGCGCTTTTCCGCGCGGATTTTTCGCGGAGTCTAGTGGTGGAAGGCCTCAAAACTTAGCGCCTTCCTCCCCTTGGGCCTCTCAGCGTGTTCCTAAGGGCCACAGTCGCAGGCAAGCCGCTGACCAAGGGCCCGGAGGGTTCAAGCGGCACGGCTCAGGGGGTCCAGCCCTTCGCCTATTGCCGTCTTCGGAGGCCTTCCGCTGCAGGTGCACTGCTCTGCCCTCTAACCCTTCAAGTCTGTAGGGTACATGCAAACGAGAAGGAGGCAGCGAGCCCCTTGGCCCCCCTTGAGGCCTTCCACCTACGTCGGAGGCCTCTGCGGGACAGCCAAGCAGCTGGGAGGGAGCGGAGGCGGGCCTCTTGAGGCCTTCCACCTACGTCCGAGGCCTCTAGGGGACCCCAAGCACCTGGAAGGGGACAGGGGGGGGGTGGGGGGGCCTCTTGAGGCCTTCCACCCCCGGCAGAGGCCTCAAAAAGGGGTCCAGGGCGCCGGCGCGGGCGGGGGGCCGTCGCCCCGCGCCCTGGAACATATGTAATTAATGTCCTCGGTGTTCATCTTCTCTCCATCGATTGTGAAGTTGTTCTCTATGCAGTCACGTAAAAAGAGCTACTGCATCATCAATCTTCTAACATTCAAACGCAAAAAATTGAAATTCACCTTGAGAAGCTGCTCATGACGTGTGTCAAAACAAATAAGTAAAACAGTGACGACCACGGATTCGAATGAATACGCCTCTGAGTCTCAACCATGCGATAAGAAGGATCATCAAAGTAGCACGCCAAAGACAGACACGATTTTCTTGTCCTTATTTTGAGAGAACAAGACATTCGGCGTTTTGACTAGTACAAGTTCAAGGCGAAGGCTGATGATGAAGAAACTGTCTTTCTTGAGTACTTCAAAAATGGTAATGAATGGCTCTAAACGAGTCAGCAGAACTCATCATTTACTTGTAAAAAAATTGTTCTTCATGCTGACATATCTATCAAGTCAAGATATCCAGCCGTGCATTAGACGAAACTTCTGAAAATAACATGGTGCGGCCAAAGATGTTATTATAGTTCTTCGCTCTCATGTCTCGTGAAGACGAGGACGAGGGAGTGGCTGAGAAGCGGGCAGTTTGGTTTGCTCGTCGCATAAGAATGGGGAACGAGTTTTCTTCCTCGTCTGTGGTCGATGCGGTGCTGCAGTTCAATGACATCCGGTCTGCGGGCTACGGCCCGCAACAGCCAACGACCTCGTTTATCTCAGTCGACAATAGCCCTGAAACGGCACTGAAGCGCGGTGGCGAGCCACTGCAGCTTCGCCTAACCAGGCGATCAGTCATCTCTATCCGCGTAGTGTCAGCGAATGGAACAACTGCGGTCGGATCATGCTATATCCCGGTGGAGCGTGTGCAGGATTGCGGCATAATCCATACATAATTGATATTCAATCCAGGGGACTTCGAAATGATCCTTCTATCTTGAAGATATTTTGTGCATGGTGTAGTACTGAAAAACTTGTTTAACAAAGTGATTATATCTCCGACCCTATCCTCTAAAATAAGAAGGGGTTAGGCCTCGTGCTTTACCATATGTGGTTTTTGCTGGAGAACGTGCCGGTGGCGAGTGTTGACGACTTGGCAACGCGTTTTGAACAGAGCCTGTACAGCATCGGCAAGTCCATTTATCAACCGAAGATATGCATCACGCTCGCAGAAACTTCGGAATTCCGGTAAGTCTGCACTTAGTTTGGTGCTTACTACGACTTCGTCATGCTCTCGATCTGCAAAAAATATTGGAGTTGTGTCGCATTCACTGAAGTAAACTAGCAAGGTTTATCTGACTAATCCAATCATCACATACCTCTTTCACCTCGACCACTCACTTACAACGACCAGGCAGTTTCATCAAGGTGGGATATATCCATTGCAGGACTATGCGGGGACGTTGCTGGACGAAAGCAAAGCAGCTCGATTTATGAGTGGACTGCTCTACTAATCTTGTCGTCTTGATGCTAACCGAGGCACCCTCTTCACATAGACATTATATGATCTGTCCGAAACTACGAGATCTATTAATTATCCTGGATGCGAGCGACTGGAGCCGTATTTCTTTAGAAATTCGTCTTACGTACTTCACTCTTTAGATACACTATTCGGGATATATTCTAGCTGATGGAGCAACATACTTCATGAGCTTTGATGACATCGCGCCCCTCTTTCATACTCGATTTTTCGATTCTGCACAGCCACTTCCAGCACTTGCAGTTATGCCAGAGCTACTACGCAACCCTGCAACAACGCGAGCAAAATGGGCAGCAAGCTGGAGCAGCACCAGGTCCGGGAGGAGGAGGGCGCTCTGTGATCTTTGGAGACCCTGTATGTTGAGTTTATTAAATAGCTAGACTTACTACCCGATCTGGTAATCGATGTAGACACAGGAAGAAAGATTGATGAAAGTTTCTCTTTTTTCAGTGATCCCGTGAATTAGATGAAGATGGGCTGCTCTTGTCATTTTTGATATGTCTATTATCTCTATGGCGATGAGAATACGATGGTTGAGTTTGATGTAGAGAAAATCTCAATGACAAAAGCACTCTTCTAGCCGTGAGACACGGGATTACCTTCTTCTTTGATTTGTTGTCCACTCTGGAGCAGCCGCTGGCGCCACGCAGGAAACAGCGGAACAGCATCGAGCGTTGGCACAGTTTTACAAAGGTACTTCGTCTGATTCTGAATGTATGGGATGTGTTCTTACTGGAATGGTCATTCATATTCGCCTTCCTTATAGTTGTTCTACGTGAATCTATGTGCATTACATGGCAGATGAAGTTCGTACTAAAAGTGCTGCGAAAGTACGGTAGCAAGAACCATTTTCAGTTGAAGTATCGTACGCATCTCGGAGACGTCTCTGCACAAAGGAAACATCAAAGCAAAACAAATCAGAGCAAAGTGAAAGCCTTGAACGCGAGGCGCACCGATTAAGAGAATCGCTTGAGGACGCTAACAGAGAAAAGTTTCAGCTGGCGGACACTAAGAACAAGCTGGTAGGGGAGATGGAGATATTGCGGGAATCTTAAGGCCCTCACTAAGGAGGTAGAGCGTTAGTGAATCCATCAAGCTCATCACCGATAATTATTTGTGTATCTTGTTGTTCATGCGTTAAGTTCAATGATTGGATTTTGCAAACCTTACTTTTATTGTCCCTCTTTGATAACAGACCTTCTAGTCATCTCTCTTGCGACCTCTAAGAAATCGTGGGACGATCCAGTGAGCCGCCTACGGGGACATCGAGCGAAGATGTATCTTTGTGCTACTGCTACTTTATTACCTTTACAAATGATGCATCGTGGAGGTAAGTTGGAATTGGTTTCCACTAGTAGCACTAACTTCAGTCGTTTGGACCAGCACCATGATGTCTAACGAATGGACTTGGAGCCAATGGTGTGAGACTGAGAGTTTCAACACATCAAGGTATTGCGCCTGCAGCAGGAGACGCGAAATATTACCAAGCAGGCAAACGAACGGATTGACAAAGCAAATGAGACTATTCGCCTCCTGCGATCCCAAGCGAAAGGCCTCCAGGACCGAGTAAAGGAGATCACGGCAGAGCGCGATGCTGAGAAATTAAGGCCTGCTCGGGGGATGACATTTTTTTCTGGTAGTAATGCGTTTTGATATTGAGGGTAGAGCTTTTTAGTCTGAAGTCGAATCGTGACGGGATGCGGATAATAAGGTCTCCTCCTTCTGTAGCTTCTAAGGCTTGATCTTCTGACATTGATTATTTTTCAGACTCGAAGACACTACTCGTCTAATGAAAGCCGAGTCCCAACGCGCCAAAGCTACGCTGGAAGAACAGCTTGCAGCAGAGAAGAAAAAGAATTCTTATGGTTGTACAACTTCTGCTGCTGCTTCTGCTTCTCTCAGTAACCGTCAATAAGGCGTTCTTCATGGTGGAAAAAATTTCGAGTACAACTAGTTGATGAAAGAGGATATTTGTTGTTGGAAGACAAGATGCCTCTAATGCAACGAGTTGATGGAGATCGTGCGTAGTCTGCATAGCGAGTTTGCAGCCACAGCAGAACCGGAGGCGTGCGATCTGCCTTATGAAAGAAAGCATGGCACTAATGCCATAATGTTACCCTGGTCTCTTGAAAACAGTACAACTAGACAGCTGCAAGCAGGTACGCTAGTGCGCATTAGCCTGAAAAGTCGTTGAGAATTCAGTAATCTCTAAGGGGCGCCTGCCGACGGCAAAATCCTACCACCCTACGCAGAAATGGAAAGATCGCTGCACGTCACGTGAGCCATCATCCGCTGCAGCAATGTGCTGTGGTATCGGATGTAGGGAATTTTTGAGGGCGGTCCCGTAAGTCCTCTTGGCCACCAGTGAGAGATAGGATAGAAGAACGAGAAGCGCATTGTAATGTAGAGTAGTTGTAGTCACGTCCCGCTGGAGTAAGTTGCTTTGAAATAAGGATATTGCCTAGTTTCGTTTATTCGAAGACTCACAATCTTTGCATTGTATTCAGAGGGGCGTGCCAATGAAAAGGAGTTTTCAACTTGTTGGGAATACAGTTCACGCATTTGTGCTTGGTGGAAAAGTAGATTGCGCACTAATCGACACTGCACAGGCATAGGCATCGATCTTCCGGAATATAGTAGCGTCATCGTCGGGTAACATCTACCGCTTCAAAATACAGGCGCAGACTTCACATTTTCTTGCTTGCTTCCATTGATTTTTACTTGATCCTTTACCATGCATGTCTCTTATTTTTGCTTTTAAGGAATCACTGTTGCGTCTATTTCTTGATGATCATGTTCATAAGATATTTACCTGCATACTTGTAGTTGTCCATAAAGGAAACACTCTGAAAATTTTTGAGCCACTCCATATTATATATAATTATATCTCCTGCTTCGTCAGGACTGCGCTTTTATTTGATGTCATTGGTTCACCTGTGACACGCCGGGTGGCAATTTAATCGAGACTAAACTTCAGTGGAGAAGAATCTTCGTTGCTTTGGCATTCTCACAAACAATGGCGCACATTCATTCTCCCGCACACAGGATACACATGTCTCAAGGGCTGTCACATCCAAGCCTCTTGCTGTTTTGTAGGAAGATATTTGCCAGCGAGGCGTGGAGAGCTCACGCAACTCGCAGTCGTGGCTCCCAAAAAAGATGAAAAACTGAAAAAAGTGAAGGCTCTTCATTCTCCGAATCTCAAAACCGTTGTGGAAACACGAAAACCCAGTCTCCTTCCTCTCGGAATGTTTTTATCAATTGCGATGTCCTCATCGCCCTTTCCAGTATCTATGTTACTGAGCCGATTATGCGTATCGGCAGAAATCTCCGATGCCGTTGTTGTTGATAAAACTAGTCTGTTCCTTGCTTCCACCTGAATATATAAGGCATATATATTGTCGGAGCCTGTTTATTCGCAATTCCAAGCAGGTGTAGTAGGAAAGGTGGAGAAAGGAGGCAATGCGTGCTTTTGATAGATACAACCAGAAGCCATGTTGTGCTTGACCTAAGATAGCTTCTATCTTCCTCTATGAGTAACAGCAAGGTCTTCTCTTGTACAAAAGAAGATGCTGCCGCTATAAATTCTTGATAAGGATTATAATCATTCCTTTTTATTGATTTTTATATGTAGTGTAGGTAGCTGCACACTGTGCCTGTGGCGCTTCAAAAAGATGCCGTCCTCAGTGCCGATGAAGATCGCGAAGATGAAGCAGGCCAGCAAAAAAGCCGTCGCCGAGCAGAAGTCCAAGGCTACAAAATCGAAGCTGACTCTCATGGCCATCTCAAAAAAGATGGTCCGGAAAACGACCAGCCCAACCCTAAACCTCAGGACAAACACAGGATGTCCGCCAGTGAGGGAGAGGTCTGAGGCAAAACCCAGTAAGTTTGTGTCTTTCGTCATCTGTGTCGATTAGTAAACCGCCTCTACTCGGAAAGCGGATGGTCTTTCGGTGGGTTGACTTTCTGTCTCGTTCTACAGCTATGTGGAGAGTTGTTAATATCTAATCGATAGTGTCATGGTATACCGTCGGATCGCTCAGAGAGCACCGCGCCAAGTAGTGGCAACATGTGGAGCATTCAATACAGCAGTCATCAGCACTATGCTGATTCATTGGGAAAAACCTGCCGTAAACGGTACTGCGCAGCGACTCCGTTTATGCAGCATCTTCTTATCCTCCTATATACTAGCTCGCTTTACCTTTTAACTGGAACTGCCAGCCTAAACCTGTCGAGAACGTTGGAAGTCTAAGAAGGTAAGAAGCACAAGGTGCAAGAACGACGGGCGAAACAGCAAGAGCGTGCTGGATGGCAGTCAAGACGGTGGGCGTTTTCGTGCAGTCTTGTACCAGAACAACAAGGCCAACGACCACGAACAACCCAGGCCCGAGGCTTGTCCGCTAATAATCAGCGCTGACCGATTTAGAGACCACCCTGAGCGAGAAAGCAAGGAAAGCCTTGCACGTAAGTACAACGTAAGCACGACAACACAAAGAAACGGAAGTAGGCTTCGCGAAGGCTTGGCTAAGTAATCACTTGGGCAAAGTGATCGGGTGTTCCTCGCATTCCAAACACATGGCTCCCACGTCGCGAGGAAGACAGTCCATTTCGGTTACATTGGTGCAACAGCCGGAAACCGAAACTCCGGCAGAAAATGAAAAACGACGGCAACGGCAAACAAATTACTACAACTCTCTGCGTAAATATTAAAGCATTGCGTTATAGATGAGACCAACAACAGAGAAAAGTAAAAAAAGATCAAGAGAAGCGGGCGGCGTGTAAACTCTGGGCAGACCAGCGGGCTTTCGTTGCTTGCTTGCGTTCCTCTTTCCTTACCTTGGAGCTGTCATTCTTTCCAAGCGTTTATATCTGTGGCTTTCTTCTTGCTAGACGGTTACGTGGAATTCGTCTTGGTCTCGGGTTAGGCGGTTGCGTGACAGCCATGCATCTTCTTCTTCTTCTGGTTCGGATCTGTACGTGGCACGGAGCAGCACCTACTTCCTTTTCTACATGTTTCGTCTTAGCGGGTGGCATTCCAACTCGGCCACGCCTACGGCAACGACCGCTGTTAAGGTCGGCGCGGTTCTCCCTCCTCCACCAAATTGGGGCGCCTACCTTTGCAACTGGCCTCACGGTAGGAAGCCAACGCACAAGCATAGCCGCCCCCAGGGAGGACCAAAAGGAGAACTGAGTTTGAGACCAAACCTAACAGACACGAAGCAAACCCGGCAGCAGCTCTTACTTCTTCTACATCGTCAGTCTTCAAGTAGGGCGGCCGTGGCTGCTACTTCTTCTACTTCTAGTGGTGCGAACGAGGATAGTTTCTTCTTCGCCGGTTTCTAGTGGAAACGAACTGGCGCCAGCTTCTTTTACAACCGCCAGAACCACGCAGAAAAAAGCAGAACGTTTTACGGTCGTCTGCGTTCTCCGGGTCGACACTTCTTGGGAGAAAGGTGACTAATAACGCAGCAGACCTCACGGGAGAAGCAGCGCTGGAAAGAGAAAAGTCATACCGCTCCCAAGGACATGAAGGACCAGAAGGAGAATCGCAGACCAAACCTAACCCAAACAAGGCCGTGCCTCCGTGGGTCTCTCTCCCTTCTTCTTTACCTCCAGACAGCGGGTGGCTGCGGGGACTTCTTCTACCTCGTCTTCTTCCCTAGTAGTCGGAGAGTGTTTGCGTGGAATTGTGCTACATCAACTTCTTCTCCAGTAGTTGCAGTTGGCGAGCGACTACCTGCAGTTCTTCTATGTCGTCCTCTTCTCCAGTTGGCGGGCTATTGCGTGGCCTTCCTGTGCTTCGTCTTCCTCCTCAGGTTGAACGTGTTCTACGTCGCGCCATCCTTCTTTGCGCGCGATTTTACGGTCGGTTGCAATTCTCCCTATCGAGTTTCGGGATGTCTTTGCAGCTGACCCTGAACGGTGTGGAAAAACAACACTCAGAAGCAAAGCCCGCCCCAGGCTTGGCTTCGAGACTTGGGAGAATTGCGACCCAACCTAACGACGGCGTATTCTAGGCCTCCCGGAAGGCGCTGCGGCTATAACGCTTTGCGGCTTTGCGACAGCGAGCGCCGCGTGGCTTTGCGATAACGCTTTGCGGCTTTGCGACAACGGCTTGTGGCATTGCGATAACGCTGCGCGGCTTTGCGGCAGCGGTTTGCGGCTTTGCGATAACGCTTTTCGGCTTTGCGACAGCGGCTTGCGGCTTTGCGGTAACGCTTTTTGGCTTTGCGGCAGTGGTTCGCTGCTTTCCGGCGTCTGTTGGTAGCTTTGCAGTAGAGGTTCGTGGCTTTGCGCGACAGCGGCTTGTGTTGTTGCTTTGCGATTGCGGCAACGGTTTGCAGCTCTGTGAAAGGGGCGGCTGCTAGAGGTTTTGCGATTTGCATCGGCAAACTCGGCGCTCCAGGCGGCTACAAGAGATTTTGCGGTTTGCGTCGGCAAGCCCGGCGCTCCGGGCGGCTGCTAGAGGCTTTGCGATTTGCATCGGCAGGCTCGGCGCCTCGGGCAGCTGCTAGAGGTTTTGCGATTTGCGTTTGCAGCTTTGGCGTTCTGGGTAGATACTAGAGGCTTTGCAATGTGCGCGCGCAGCTTCGGTCTTGCTTCCGTGCAGATAGTTAGTACGCGTTTGCTGGTGCCTCTTCTGATCCATTCGGTTCCCCTTCCTAAAAAGCCATCAGCAACCTCCTCTGCGTTTCGAATCTAGTTAAAAAATAAAGAAGACCAACCCGAAAAGGGAGGACTCTAGTAGCGACTCGGGCCAAGCAATCTACTTTTTTTTCAAATTCTTCGGGGGGTCGTGCAAATTTCGACGAATTTGCATGACCTCCACTAGATTCCGGAAAAGAAGCCTGGAGGTGGTGACTTAACGCGCACTGCGTGGCGCAGTATTCTGCGTCATTTCGTGCAAGTTTCCCAAACGTGTCACAACCTATCAGCGGCAGCGAGTCTCGCGAAGACCAGGTCGCCGAAGCAGGCAGTCGCCTCGCGTGCTGGCGCAGACAAGCTGCTTCCACAGAGGGAATTTACTTGAAACCTCAAATCTGAGTTCGTGTGTTTACGACGGACCGGATTGGCTACGACTCTCACGTATCCTGGGAGTGTCCGCGTGTTTATGAAGGAACGCTCGAGAAGACTATAGGCGTCGCCGCCAAATCCACGCTAGCGGGAATCGGCGTCAGCTATTAGCCGTCCAGGATGAGGCTAGCTCTAGTGGTGAAGGGCATCGACCTCGGCGCGCCGCCGCAGGCGTTCGACAGCCTAGCAACGTCAGACGATAGCACGAATTCGGTTGCACCACCAAAAGAAGCCACGGAGCGCTTCGCCGTGTCCATGTCACGCTGCAACAGATAGCCACAGAAGCAGGGCTGTTCAAAATCGGTCAGCCGACAGACGACGGCAGCACGCCGAACATGCTCGATGACTTAGGCAAGCACGCGCCCAGGCTCAGCGGCTTGCTGCACAAGACCGGCCAGGCGACGGAACTACTCCGGGGGGACGCAGAAAAGGCAAAGTCGCAGGCGGTAACTCCGCAGTCTTGGCTTATCGAGCTTTATCAGGAGGCTGCCAAGCATGCGGCGGCGGTTTCGGACGCGTTGATGGAAATCAGGCATAGCGCGGCAGCAAAGGCTGCGCTTGCTTCCGAAGTGTCCGCCATCGGAGTGTCGGCAGATGCTGCGAGAACAGCGGCGCAAACGGCCAGCGACGCGCCGACGCAGTCTGCCGGTAGCGCTACAAGCACGCGCCCCGTCGCCAGTCAAGATGGTGGGCGTTTTTGTGCAGTCTTGAACCAGAACCAGAGCAATAAGGCCAACGACCACGAACGGCTCAGACTGGACTACGGTCCTATATGAAAGTATAATAATCAGCGCCGACGGATTTAGAGAATTGGCTGAACAGGAAAGCAAGTAAAGTTTTGCACGTAACTGCAAGTGCAACGTAAGTACGACAACGCAAATAAACGACGTAGGTAATTTGCAAAGAAAACCTGGCTAATCACGTGGGCAAAGTGATCAGTTGGTCCGCGCATTCCAAACACATGGCTCCCACGTCGCGACGAAGACAGCCAGCTTCGTTTACGTACCTACTTGCTTCGGCTTGCAATCCCCTTCATCATGACAAAAACTGGCTCCTTTTGTAGATGAGTACTTTCCTCACAAATTCTGACTGGCTACGTCGCTGCAAACCGTGATGGAAAATTGATTGGTGCCGGTGTGTGTTTCTAGTGGACACAGATGCGAGGGTGCTCTGTTGTGCTCGACAGAGTGTTCGACCAGCGCATGGACCATGATGCGCCTAAGGCAAAGTCAGTAGTTGGCGCGCGGCTCTTCTTTCTTTATTCAACAAAAAATGTCATCCAGCTGCAGCCCGTCTCTCTGTCCTGTATTAAGGATCTTTTTCATCTCTTGCAAGATAAGACTATTGACTCTACTCAAAGGTTATCAAGATTATTCAAGACTTAGAACCTAGCGTGGCGCCACCAGCTCTAGGCCGTAGTCGTGTTTTTGGCGCTTCAGAAGCAACTGATGTCTGCTAGATTTCCTCCTGTGGGCCCACACCTAACCTAACCTATGACAATGAAGGACAAAGAGATGCTTTGAGGCCGTTGTAGAAGACCACCTAGATACAGGTGGTAGATCAACAGCATGAGGCTCACTCCGATGCGCACCACGCAGAAGATGCTGCACCTGACGCGATTTCCCTTCATGAATCTCTTCAGGGCAGTGCTCTTGGCCTTAGTGTGGAGCGCGGAACAGGTCGCATTCGCAAGCATTCTCCAGTTCCTCACCGTTGATCCAGAGCGTGGCGCTTACCTCGTTTTTCATCCTGATTCCGTTTTCAACAAGCGACAACTACCAGTCACAGAAGCCACTGCAGAAGATCGCGCTTCTGGAGATGACAGTGTGGATGCTCTAAAAAACTGGTGCGATCGCATTGAAGAGCACGCTGGGTTTGGTGACGTTGAAGCAAGGACACAGAGCGAGGTCGAGGAAGAACGAAGTTGGATGCTCAGGGATCGACTTTATGCGAGGAGAGAGGGGGTGTATGGTTTTTCCGATGTACCTGCTGAGACAGCAAAAACAGAACACAGCAATGACGCAACTCAAGTAGAGCGAGGGCATGTTTTCGAAGCAAGGTTACAATCAGTCATTCCGCACAAAACACTTTCAGCCATCTTTGCTTCGGCGCCTGGAGGGGCGTCGTCTAGCACGAAAATTCTTCACGGAAATCAGCCAGAAGCGCAAGCACGCAAGCCAAGAAGATTTAGAACCTTCAGGAAAGTAGAGAAACAGGTCATGCAACAAGGACTAGCAGAACAGCAAGTACGTCAATACCACGACGACTCTGCTGCCATGCATCTGACAGAAGACGTGTTTTCTGACCAGACAGAGAGCTTCACGCTGCGGATTCTGAAATATCATGCGCATATGGGGTTTTTGGATTCTAGCATAGGGGTGCAAGTATCAGAGAGGGTGTGGGGAATTATTGTGGCTGATTTCACGAAGCTGGTTCTTGGAGTAGCAGCAAAGTTGCATGACGTGTTTGTGGCAAGGGTTTCGCATTCACTAGGTGGGAGGACTTCAGAAGAGGACAGGCAGGAGAGAGGGAAGATTCGAGAAGAAGGGCAGACGATGAAGACAGAAAACGAAATAAGCCTCGCTCTACGTGCTGTCGCAAAGTTTGTGCTTCGTTTCACGACTCTCTTCACTGGCGCTGTGTATCAGCTAGGATTTCAGTACAGAAATACAAACTCAAAGCTGCTGCTTTTCTCTGAATTTGCAGACTGGTCAACGAAGAGGCTGCAATCAATGCGCGAGTTAGAAGATGGAGGACATGACGAAGGGCCATTGGGGGTTGTTATGGGTACATCAAATGTAAATGTAAAGCCTACAACAAATCGAGAGTAGAGCTAGAAGACAGTCCTCAGCGTCGCCGTTGAGTTTGAAAGTAATTCGTGCGTCACGATAAGTACAGAGCAAGCGGCTGAAGCGTATCTTCTCTAATCCCCTCTTACGCAATCTAGAAGCTCTCTACCTCGCGGTTTGCATGATCGTCTTGGTTTTCGCCAGAGAAGTAGCCAGGGTGCCTGGCGTGACGATTTGGACGCAGGTTGGGCATGTGGAGTTTTACAATTTCTTACTAGGTCACAGTTGGGGTGGTGTCGGGACTGCAGCTACAACTACTGAGGCAGAAGCTGGAAAAAGTGGAGATGAAACTGGTAGAAGTGTCACAGGCTCTAGCTCGTTAAGGAACAGCCACGACGAGAACGGTGATAGAAAGAGGCATGACGCACTCGGCATCTCTTCAATGATCGATGCTGACTCCGCTTGGGCCTTAGATACCCGGAATCTTGTGGAAGCCAGAAGAGCGCAAGCGGGTGAGGCTGCACATGCAGGATTAGCAGATACAGAGAGAATGTCTTTGGAACAAATCGCCTCACGTATGCCAGGTCTCCCTGTAGCAGAGGCTTACGCAAGGAGTAGAGAAGTTAGTCTGAGGAATCTTCGACGAGGGCGTGAGAGAGGAGACGGAGACGAATTGGTATATGAAGGCCGTGACGGCGGTAATGATCATGCCGTTGATGATGAAGCGCGAGAGACAGACGAAAAGGACGACGCACAGACCGGGGCGCTTTTAGAGCATTTTGGTAAGTCATTTGTGTGGAATCCTGACCCAGAAGTGATAGAGGGAC